ACGGTTCCCCCTGAAGCCGCAAACTCCTGAACCCAAACTCAAAACACTATACATTAAATCCTAAATCGCAACATCCTAAAACCATAGCCCCCAAAGCCCCTGAACCGACTTTAATTATAGGAACACGGAGGCTAAAGGCCCTCTCCGGTCTCCTCCAGATGCTGGTCAACTGCTTCCTGCGCTTCCGAACCTTCCACTCTCTAGGGTTTAGGCGCTCAGGGTTTAGGACGGTTTAGGGTTGAGGGTTTAGGGGTTAGGGGTTAGGGGTTGGGGATTCAGGGGTTTAGGGGCTAGGGACTGCTAGGGTTTAGGGTTTAGGGCATCTCTGGCTCGATAAAGAGCACTCAGGAAGTTCTTTCCGGCTATTCCAAAACCCTAATCAAGCCCTTGCAAAACCCCATCGCACCCTTCTGACCGTGAAATCTTGCTCAGCCCTACCCAAAGAACACAGGTAACGTCCATAGAACCCCTACAAGCCTTCTATCCAAGCGGATACTATAAATGATTTATTCAATTTTGCTTTTGCCTGCGTCGTCGCCGCGCTCCGTGAGGTGTTAGCCCTTAGGCTCTAAGGACTCACACTTTAGATATAGGCCCCAAAGTAGTTCTTTTTTGGTATTACCTCTTAAGATTCTATATATGAACCCCAAAAAGGAACTACTTTGGGGCCTTTGGGTAAGGCTTTTGGACCCAAAGACCATACTATTCTATATCAGGCTTTGTGGCTATTTACTATTCTGAGCCTTAGGGTAGGGCTTGGGGATGTATTGGCGCCGAGGCTCCGAGCGATCAGCCTTTTCGCAGCGGAAGCAGAGGGGCTGTGCTTATGCGGCTCGGAGCTCGGAGAGCTGAGACGCACCATAAACCCTAAACCCTACGCTGCGGATTGATTTCCCGACGGCTGTGTGGTGAAGTCCAACCACCTCACGCGGATTCCGCTCTCCAATAACAAATCGGCTCTCCTCTATCAGTTAATCTCGATAGATCCGTCTGGTTGCTGCAAAAATTCTCGGCCGCAGAAGCGGAATTTGTCCTGCTCGATACGCCCGATCCCCGCAAAAGCCCAAACCCCTAAACCCGAAACCGAAAAAGGCCTAAAACCCCAAACCCTCCCCCAAAACTTGGAAACCCTAAACCCCAAACAGGATAACCCTAAACCCGACGGAGTTCTCACAGTGACGTCATGTTCGGGCGCTCGGGCCCTTAACCCATGGCAAAGGGATTAGAAAGCAAATGCCGATATATAACTCTTTGAACTCTCGACTAAGACGTTCCGAAAAAAACAGAACACCACGTCGAAGCACCCTGAACCACGATCCAGCCATTGGCGTTTTCTGGCTGGAAGGCAACAAGAGTGTTTAAGATGTACTAGGGATTGGGCATCCAATGCGGAGTCCCCCAGTTTGATACACTACGACGACACCATCAGGCCTGCCAACGCTTCCGGCAGGAGCACTTGCTTCGCCACCTGCGGGGCCCAAGAGAACGTCAGAGAGCCGATGGGAACATACGTTAAGCATCCTCAAGCGATAGGTTTCAGATTGGGCTATATCCTCCTTGTCAGAGAAGTGCACACCGTCAATCAATGAGGCATAGAACCCTAAGGGTCCATGTACCTAAATAGTATATACATTGGCCTTAAAATACTCCCTATATGGGTACATTGGGCCCAAAGTATATACTATTTGGGTACATGGACCCTTAGGGGAAGCCTTAACCTCAAGCCAAGACGCCAGCTCCAATGCAGAAGCCTTGATAAACAACAACTCCCGGATCTCCACTATTCAAGGTTTCGGGCAGCGGTTTTATCAATATGATAATTTTAGGTTTTAGGGTATGAGGGCTTAGGGAAGTAGGGTGTTACGGCGTTAGGGTCTAGCAATTAGGGCTTAGTGTGTGGGGTTTGGGTTTAGTATTAATTAAGGTAAGCTTAGGCCCCAAAAGTTGACTTTAGTAGCTGTACGAGGATTATGAATAGAAGACCGAAAAAAAGTGAAGGTTGCCTGCCCAGCCCCTATAGTAGGAAGGGCGGGTTGGGGCGCTTTGACAACGTGCAATCCACATTAGGGCGTGGATTTGTGTTTGGAATATGGCAGTTTTCCGAAAATAGGTGACCCTGATGTAGCACCCTAAATAGTAGGATCCTTATTATAAGGACCCCAAATTAAGGTACCCCCATTTTCGGAAACCTCCACATGGGGCTCACGTCTCCATTGTAGTTCCTTTTTTTGGGTATCCAATTTTATGGTTAGGAAGGACCCTATATTTTGGTTAACCCAAAAAAGGAACTACAATGGAGACTATAATTAATTGGGGTTCAGAGTTTCGATTTCAGGAAGTTTCAGAGATCGAGTTCGGAAATGAGAGATCAGATCTCAGGGATGGCATAAGTTAAGGTATTTTAAGGGATTGAGGTTTAACCGTATAGGCTTTAGGGTAACGGGTTGTGGCCCAAAATCGAAGGCCCTGGACTACAGATGACTACGTGCATGGTGAACTCATTTCCGGACTTGGAAGCAGCGACATCAGCAGTAGCAGTAGCAGGAGCAGGAGCTGCAGGAAGAGGAGGAGGAGAGGCAGGAAGAGCAGCTGCTGCTGCAGCAGCAGCTTGGCGCAACTGGCAACATTTGCTACCCTAAGGGTCCAAGTACCCAAATAGTAGGGTTTCGAAGTCCAAAAACCATTCAGAGTATGGATTTGGGGACCTGCAACCCTACTATTTGGGTACTTGGACCCTCTGGGCTAACTTGCTGATTTGGGAAGTCCAGTCCCTAAACCCTAAACCCTGCTGGGGCGGTGTCGGGATTTCCTCGGCAGAACATTGAAACAAGTACACCCTAAACCCGAAACCCTACAATCCTAAACCCAAACCGTACGGAAATACCCTGGACCCTAGAGTCCTAGAGTTGTACACGCTGCAAGGGTTTAGGGCATAACGGCCTTAGAGGCTTAAGGTTTTGAGGCTGTTTAGGGTTTAAGGGGTTTGAAAGTTTGAGGGTTTATGGTCTAGGAATGCAGGGTTGAGGGTTTAGGGTTTTCGGAAGGGCTTTGTCGGTTCCCAGAGACTCCAATATCCCCTAATTAAGGAATATACCTTAAATTATAGTAGGATCCCTGATAATTATGATTTAAGGATATTCCTTAATTAAGTTAAGGAATATTACTTAATTGCGGGATATTGGAGTCTCTGGGTTTAAGGGTTGAGGGTTTAGGGTTAAGGCCGAGCAAAATCGGAAACTGGCCTCAAGATAAGCCTCTTGGCCCCATGGCTGCAGCCACACCACGTCCATTCCCGAGGCAATTCCCGGATACCTGGGATTTAGGATGTAGGATTTTGGGTTTATGGTTTAGGGTTTGCGGTTTAGGGTTTAGGATCTAAGAACATTCGTAATGTAGACCCATGATTGGTAACCTGCTTCCTTCGATAAGAAGTAGAGTAGGTAAGAGGGAGAGTTCTGAGTATCAGGTTCCTTCGAATAAAGGAGGGGTGCTATTCCTACACCGGCACCCTAAACCCTAAATCCTAAACCAAAAACTCTACACCTACACTACACCCTCAACCCTCCTCCCAAAATATTCCTAAACCCCAATTAAGCCCTAAACACAGCAAAACACCGAGGCCCCTGAGAGAGGGTGGGCGGTACCATTCCAGTGTGTACTTTGCGAAGGCCGAGGATGCTCAGAGATCCGACTCCGTCTGAGGGTTGAGGGTGTAGGATTGAAGAGTTTAAGGGGTTTAGGGGTTTGGGGTTTTCACAAAAACTCCATACTTCTTATGATCATTAAGCATCTATTCACCTATTCCTCAATCACAAAGAACTCCCACCGCGCTCGGGCAGCCCAAACTCCAAAGTCGTGGAAACCCTGGACCTCCCTGGACCCGGGCCGGTTTTCCTGGTCAGGACTCAGCAGGTGGGCGCGGAGATCCGGCGTTGCTGTTTCCGATGGAATAGTCCAGCTCGGGCTCTCCATTTAGGCCCGCGCGCGGTACGTTGTGGAATCCGGCGGCCGAGTATGTGCAGGACCCTGTTGCGCTGGTAGAGACAGCGGCAGCTCGGCCTCGTGCAGCAGGGACCATGTCAAAAAAGTAAAGCTCCTCGATCTCGAACTCGGCCGGGTCTAAAGCACAATTGCTTGGGGACTGGGCAAGCGGTGCCACAGGAGTGACGGCTTTGGGCAAATACATGCTGGCTCCGTCACTGCAAAATTCAACGCCTATAGGCTTCGGGGCGTGAACGCTGGCCTTTTTGGAAGGAAGGGGCTGTGTTCTCTCGCGCGCCCTTTAGAACGACTTTACAACCATATGTCCACTTCGCCCTTGGAGTTTTGAATTCTGTTTATAAAGTTAGAGAAGTAAATACACTGAAATCGCTGCCTTCGTCCGACTCTCAAGCAGGCTCACTCAAAACCCGAAGCCCTCAAGCCTCAAACCCAAAACCCTGATCCGTAAACCCTCGAAGGCCCTCAAAACTTAAAATCCCCCAAACTCTCCAAAGAGTCTCTTCATAATTTGAGCTCCACTTGAGAGGAACCTGACGACCCGAAACCCTCATCCCCAGAATCCAAACCCTAAGGGTCCAAAGGACCCAATAAGTAGGTATTCGGGTTTAGCATAGTAGTTACGTAGGATTGAATTTTGGAGAGTATATGATGATTGGGTACTTGGGCCCTTACGGAAAGAACCTGGCAGCAGAGGCCAGAAAGTGGTCACTGAATATTAGCAAAAGGACGGACCAAGTTCCCGTTCCTCCTCTACGGTGGCAGTAGCAGTACAAACCTGGAAACTGGGAAATGCATGACCTGAGGTGTTATTTCCAACAGTTTGCTGGTAAAGCATCAGGACCAGTGGTTCCTCAGTGTTGGGGGCAGCAGTGTTCCAATTCTATGATGCACTAAACTCTGAACCCTGGCCCCCTACTAAAACCTGAAACCCGAAACCCCGACACCCCAAACCCTTCTCAACCTGCAAACCACAACTACGGTGCACTGAGAAGCCCTGCTTACGCAGCTGTCGTCGGAACCAATTCGCAGCCAAGCTTGGCGAGAGGATCAGCAAAAAGGCCTGGGCTGTGTCGAGCTTGGGCGCGCTTCTGTACGGGCTTGATAGGCCGGGTCTGAAAAGGGCTTTTCTGGGCTTTTGTAAACCCTAAACCCGGCTTTTGGATGGAGTTATATGCTATGGGTTTTGAAACCCGGGAAGGATTTCGGGTTCTGTGGCCAAGGATTCAGAGTTGGAGTTGGAGGCTTGGGCTAATGCTTCATCAGGGTTTAGGGTTGGGGATTTACCTTAACCCTGAAAAACCTGCCTTTTCAGGGTTCCTTATTATGATTTCCTTATATAAAAATCCTTAAGATTGTAAGTTATTCCGGGTTTAGGATTTACGGTTTAGGCTTGTGCAGTCGTGCCTTGGATTTCAGAGGTTTCGACGACAAGCCGCACAAATCATGGATCGATGGCAGCCGCGAGCTACCACTACTGTAGAGGGCGCGACATGATTCCGCCACTGTTACCAGGGCGGTCGAGGCTTAGTGTCTAAAGGATGTGGAAAGGGTTCAAGAACGAAGGGGTTCAGGGTCTAGCTGCTCAGAGTTCTGTCGGGTTTGGGTTTAGGGTATAGGGTTTTGAGCATCTGGTGCCCTTAACTACTAAAAGGTCCAAGGCCCAAGCAGTAGAATCACCAGAACAAAAGGGCACAGCCAACACCCCAACAAAGCCCTAAGTTCAGGGTTCAACGCTAAAACTTGACCGGTCCTATGTAAACCGGCTCCTTCTTACAAATATAGTATAATGGGCCCCAAGACCCTATTCTAATGAACCTGTCCTAAACCGAAACCAAGAGCTCTAAAACCCAAGCCCAATCCCTAGCTATGTTCCTTTACAGGAACCCTAAATTCCCTAGGTTCCCTTCAAAGGAACCCTAGGCTCCCTTTAAAGGAGCCCTAGGTTCCTAGGTTCCCTTTAAAGGAATCCTAGGTTCCCTAGGCTCCCTTTAAAGGAGCCCTAGGTTCCTAGGTTCCCTTCAAAGGAACCCTAGGCTCCCTTTAAAGGAGCCCTAGGTTCCTAGGTTCCCTTTAAAGGAATCCTAGGTTCCCTAGGCTCCCTTTAAAGGAGCCCTAGGTTCCTAGGTTCCCTTCAAAGGAACCCTAGGCTCCCTTTAAAGGAGCCCTAGGTTCCTAGGTTCCCTTTAAAGGAATCCTAGGTTCCCTAGGCTCCCTTTAAAGGAGCCCTAGGTTCCTAGGTTCCCTTTAAAGGAATCCTAGGTTCCCTAGGCTCCCTTTAAAGGAGCCCTAGGTTCCTAGGTTCCCTTTAAAGGAATCCTAGGTTCCCAGGCTCCCTTGAAAGGAGCCCTAGGTTTTTAGGTTCCCTTTAAAGGAATCCTAGGTTCCCTAGGCTCCCTTTAAAGGAGCCCTAGGTTCCTAGGTTCCCTTCAAAGGAACCCTAGGCTCCCTTTAAAGGAGCCCTAGGTTAGGTTCCCTAGGCTCCCTTTAAAGGAGCCCTAGGTTCCTAGGTTCCCTTTAAAGGAATCCTAGGTTCCCTAGGCTCCCTTTAAAGGAGCCCTAGGTTCCTAGGTTCCCTTTAAAGGAATCCTAGGTTCCCTAGGCTCCCTTGAAAGGAGCCCTAGGTTTTTAGGTTCCCTTTAAAGGAATCCTAGGTTCCCTAGGCTCCCTTTAAAGGAGCCCTAGGTTCCTAGGTTCCCCTTAAAGGAATCCGAGGTTCTCTAGGCTCCCTTTAAAGGAGCCCTGAGGATCCTGCGAGACTGGCACCATCAGGGAAGTCGTCGCTCAGACCTGGCTCAATGCGGTTGAAGGGTTCCCCTTACAGTAGAAGCCAGAAAGCTGGAATATCATTATCGTAACCCCTTTAAGGTAAATTATAGGAGATCCTACCAACTTTCTGGAGTTCCCCTTACCCCAAGGGTCCAAAGGACCCAATAATCAGGTACTCGGTTTTAGGAAAGTAGTTATGTAGGTTAGGATTTTGGAGAGTCTATGATTATTGGGAGACTCTGAGGATCCTAATATAGGGGCCTTAATAATTAGAATAGGGTTCCCTTTAAGGGTTCTATAAGGGGTCTATAAAAGGATCTGTAGTAGGGCTCTATAATATAGGCTGCAGGGTTCCCCTTAGAAGGGCTTCCTGAAAGGGTTCGGTTCCTGAAAGGTCTCCCTTAAAGGGTCCGCTTGACGGGGTAGGGTTCGGGTTCCTCGAAAAAAATTGATTGGGTTCAGGCTAGGGCCATACGCTGCGAAATGTGATGATCCAGGTTTGTAGGCTATTGTCTGGCTTGACGAGCCAAGCTTCATGCAATCGATCATCGTTGTATCGCAAGCCTTCAACACAGATTCTCCTTGATGTTCGCAAAAACTAGAACCTCGGAGCCAGAAGGTGAGCCTTGCGTCATCAATACAGCTGCTGTGCCAGATCACCATGAAGGAATAAGGTTATGAAAGGACGTACAGTGTACGTACAGAAAGGGGTTTAGGAAGAGTCCAAAACCCCAAGTTGTAGTGCTTCTCGCTGGACAACCTGTCTAAAGTTCGGATTTCAGGATACAGTAAAAACGGCACTGGCCGATAAGGCAATGCCATGTGCAAACGTGATCCCGGTGAACAGGAATTGCAACCATGTTGCGGCTGCAAACGGCAAACTCCCATTTCCGAAATCTCAGCATCCAAGACCAGAACCCGCAAATCGCCAGTCCAATTGGCACTCAGGTTCAAACTCGGATTCACCTTGCAGCTGTCTTGTGAACAACTATAGAACACAAAGACTGCTCATCCTAAACCCTACCTGTAGCCGCCGACAAACATAGTAGGCGATGACCCCATACTTATCGAGTAGAGCCCTCAAAATGGCAGGCAGCCTCAACCCTAACACCCCCAGACCTTCCAAAATCCCTTAATTAAGGAATATACCTTAAATCATATTAGGGATCCTACTATGATTTAAGGTATATTCCTTAATGAAGTGATTTTGGAAGGTCTGGGACCCTGACACCCTGAACCACTGCTGCACCGGACCTTCCTCGACAACCTTGCCACCTTCCACGGTGGAGTTGGATCGGACCTGAGGGTTTAGGGTTTAGGGTTCTTGCTGCAGAGTGGTGGGCAAACCAGTAGAGCCTTCGGCTGGTTTTTGCTTTAGGTTTTTCCGTCTGCACGAAGGGTCTGCTGAGCGATAATTATGGCGACCATGATGATCAGGATGGTCATAAAGATGACGATGATGATTATGGCGATGGTGTGGGTGTTGGTGTTGGAAGTGATGGTGACGATGTTGATGATTGGCTGGAGCTGATTTTAACCATAGTGGCGACGACGACTTTGGTTCATCGTTTTCATTGCCGTCAGCATCATAATCACCACCGTTGTCACCATGATGGTGTCGTCAATCTCACTCACTGCCTTCTTCGTCATTGCAGCCAAGACTCCTTACCTATAGTCTCCATTGAAGGTCCTTTTGCGGTGAAAAAACTACATTATAGGATCCTAACCATAAAATTGGTGAACCAAACAAGGAACTACAATGGAGACCATAAGTACGGTGGAAACAACATGACGAAATGACCCACTTAACCGAACAGAAAGTGGCCTTTAAAGTTGGGATTCAATCATCCCTAAACGCTGAACCCTAAACCCAATATAAGCCCCTAAACCCTCAACCCTATATAAACCCCCAACCTTGCATAGACCCTACACTTCAGCCGTCTATAGGAGTTTAGGAGCTCTGGAACACCACGGAGTCCCGGGGGGCCCTGCGATGCCAATATTACCGCGGCTACCGCGCCGGGCGGCTTTGCGAGATGTTTTCTTTGCCTGTCTTCCGGGGGTTTAGGATTCAAGGGGTTTGGGGTTTGGAGTTTGCCAGTCAGCCCTTTGGGCTTGGGGATTTGGGGCTTTGGGGTTTAGGGTTGGCGAGTCCGCGCTTAAAGTTGGGGATTTGGGGCTTTGGGGTTTAGGGTTTGCGGGTCAGCCCTTAGAGTTCGGGCTTCGGGGCTCTTGGGTGGGAGAGCTGGGGTTTGCAGCCATCAGATCCCTAAAGGGTCCATGTACCCAAATAGTATATACTGTGTCCGAATGTACCTACATAGGGAGAACTTTAAGGCCAATGTATATGAGTACATGGACTAATTAGGGGATAGCATCAAAGTGCAAACACACGAATGGTAACTCGTTGCACTTGGGTACGGCCCCCATACAGTAACAGTCTATAATAGGGCTACGATTAAGGTCCTTAATCTCTATATTATGAATATTCTCCAACTGTTACTGCGTGGGGGCAGTAATTACCCTACGTTGCACTGTCCCTGTGGAAAAAGCAATGCACCAGAGGGCAAGTGTCACGAGCGTCGTTAAGCTACTGATCTGCAGAGGGGAGACTAGGACGCGCGAAGGCTAACATAAATAGGACAACACTGTCGCAGCCCGTTGGCTGTGCAAGGTCCCTCGATGCCCATGCCAATCTTCAAAACTCCGCTAAGCCGCATATTACCATATCCTGGCCTAATATTTCAACCTCACAGCGCCTGTAACCGAGTCCGACGACTGGCATGTAAGTGGGCTCTTAGACCGTGAACCCATCTCAAAACCCAATTAGCTCTTAGGGTTTCGATGATCCATGGTGTCAGCTTTAAGAATAGAACCCTTCAAAATGAAGAGCCAGAGCCCTAAAGCCCTGATAAAGCCACGGATCTACGGACCCCACATAAACCTCAAGTTCTCAATCCAAAGCCCAAAGCCCTACAAACCTAAACCCTAAGTACTAAACGCTAAACCCTAAACCGCTAAAGCCTTAACCTTCAAAGGGAGCTCCGGATCCCGGCCTCAAATCGCGTTGCTTGACGAAGGATGTTGTCAATATCCTGTTTAGGGCGTTTAGGGTTTAGGGAATTCAGGGTTTAGGATTTAAACGATTCAGGGTTTAGGGCATTTAGGGCTTAAGGAGGCAAGCAGCCTTAATGAAAGTTTACATCAAGTTATGGGTACGTAAAAGCGATACCCAGGGAAGCGAACGTATCCTCAACGTATGTTGGGCTGTTGCTTTCTAGTGCAGGAGTCAGCCAGTCTGATTCAACTTGCTGTGACTTAGAGGTTTAGGGCTTAGGGTTTCATCACATGGCCAGAGAGAAGTTTAGTGTTTGGGGAACACGGTTACATCACATGGCCAGAAATTTAGGCTTTTAAGGTTGGGGGTTCAACAACATTACCATTTGTTTGGGGGTCCAACAAAGCCCAGGCTTGAATGCTGCAGATTCCAAGGGCCGGTAGCCACTCATGACTCATATATCTATATCATGAATATTATGCAACTGTTGCTGAGTGGGGGGCCGTACCCAAGGTATATTCCTGAAGTATCCCTAAACCCTAAACCCTAAAACCCTAAACCCTAAACCTTAAAACCCTAAACCCTCAAACCCTAAACCCTAAAGGCTCATCAGGGTTTCGGCTGCAGGATTTTCTGTGCCGCTCTTGAAATGAGCCGCAAGCCAACCAGATAAGGAATAGCTTCCTGAAAACAGCACCCTGTATAAACCCTCAATTGGGAGCTTCCGAAAATTAGGGGTAATAAGGATCCTACTATTTGGGGTATGCTATTAAGGCCCCCGTATTTTCAGAAACTCCCAATTCGTAGAGCCCTTGTAAGAGAAACCCGCACACCCCTGCGGGCCTCTAGGATAGTCTCGCAGTCTCCGTGTAGGAGGTGGTCCTGTGGATCCCATGCTGAAGGGGTTTAGGGTTTAGGGTTTAGGGTTTAGGGTTAGGGTTCAGGGTTTAGGGTTTAGGGTTTAGGATAGTCCCTAAGGGCTCATGTACCCAAATAGTATATGCTTCGGGCCCAATGTACCTACATAGGGAGCACTTTAAGGCCAAGGTATATACTATATGAGTACATGGACCCTTAGGGAGTTTGGGCTATCGCGATTGAGCTTTGGACTTTGTGTGTGGGGGGATGTATTGGGAAGTTGGGGCTGTAGACCCTAAACCCTAAACCCTTTGCCTTCGGCATAGGGCTCGTGACTTTTCTGACCCTAGCCATGCACACCAACGTCCCTGAACCCTTAAGCCGACTGCAACCCGCTGCCCAGACCTTCCAAAATCCCTTAATTAAAGAATATACCTTAAATCATAGTAGGATCCCTACTATGATTTAAGGTATATTCCTTAATTGAGGGATTTTGGAGGGTCTGGGAATCCATGGCGCTCCAGTTACCTAAATAGTTGGTTACCAACCTTACTAACCATTAAGTATATTATGTAATCCAGTTACCCATTGTTGAGGCAACTGGAGCCCTAGGGAATAATCGGTTACGGAATTTGCCGTCCTCCGTGAGTGGCCCAAAAGTGTGAGAGCCCAAACGACCTGGGACGGATGGGAATGAGGGTTTAGGGTTTAGGGGTTTCAGGGTTCAGGGCTTACAGTAGAAGCCAGAAAGTTGGAATATCACTATCGTAACCCCTTTAAGGTAAATTATAGGGGATCCTACCATTAATCCATATTCCAACTTTCTGGAGTTCCCTTTAGGGTTTTGCTTGTAGTCTCCATTGTAGTTGATTTTCTGATTTAAATCAAATGATCCCAACCAATATAGAAAAGGTAAACCAAAAACGGACTATCATGGAGACTACAGGGTGGACTTGTGTCTGGACGACTGTTACGATTTTCGTCCCTCCGCTGAACTGATTGAGCACCGAACATGTCATGCCCTCACTCCGGTATCCTAAGACTCGAGCAACACGCGCGCGAACCCAAATGACAAATTCTAAAAACACACTGAGCCCACAAAACATTCTTCATAGCCTCCTCTCCTCCACTTCCTGGAGGCCTGGCCCGAAAAGCCCTCCCTCTACAATGAAATCTCTGAAGCCAAAAGGCATCAAGAGCTCTGGCGATCCAATGGGCCCCAAGACCATATTATTGAAACAGTGGTACTATAAGGGTTCCTTTAAGGGCCTAAGGGTACTATAAGGGTTCCTTTAAGGGTACTATAGGGGTGCTATAAGGCCATGTTGAGAAATAGGGTGCCGAATACTTGAGCCTTAGTAGTGCCGAATACAGTAATAAACAGGAACTGGATTAGGCGTCTGAGGGTTATGTGCCTCACATACACATCAAAAGCGCGTAAATCTTTACTAATAAAAAGCCGAAGACAGCCCTGAACCCTGAACCCAAACCTGAACCCAAACCCTAAACCCTAACCCTAACCCTAAACCCTAAACCCTAAACCCTGAACCCTAAACCCTAAACCCTAAACCCTAACCCTAAACCCTAAACCCTAACCCTAACCCTAAACCCTAAACCCTAAACCCTAAACCCTAAACCCTAACCCTAAACCCTAAACCCTAAACCCTAAACCCTAAACCCTAAACCCTAAACCCTGAACCGACCTAGTAGAGGCCCCCCGGCTTCGGATGGTACCATGCAAGGTGGCGAGCTCTTCGCGCAAGCCTTCGGGACATCTCTTAAAGTAAAAGCCAGAAAGTTGGAATATGATTATCCTAAACCCTTTAAGGTAAATTATAGGGATCCTACCATTCATCCATATTCCAACTTTCTGGAGTTCCCTTTGGGTTCTTTTGTTGCGGCTTCAGTGTTCATGTAGGTATCAATTAAGTACTTCGGGGCCTTATCCGGCATTCTCGCAACGGGCTCGGCTGCAAATAATTGGACAGGAGTTGTGCCATAATGCTATACCTTTTGAAGGCTGCCGAATTACAAGCTACCGCGTTCCACGCTGCCGCAGACCTGAAGCCCTGCCACGGCCGTTTACAGCCTCCCACAGTGCTTAAACGAATTCGGCGAAAATTTGCAAACAAAACCCTTTGGCTGTGTGAAACGGTTTCCATAATTAGGAGTCCTGTTGTTGCATCGTCACATGATGTCAATAACGGCAAGCCTATGTAACCCTCAAAGGGACCTTATAGTACGGTAACCCTTGAAAGTAACCCTTGAAAGAAGTCCTTGCAAGGCGGAGAAAGAGAACCCTACCCTAAGCCCGAAAAACCCTTAACGCCTGTAATGACCAGAATAATGGTATACAAGTGATCACCCACAGGGTTCAAGTACTCCCTACTACAGAACTTTAAGGTGTTTTTGATACCAAAACCTAACAATAAGGCCTACTTGGACCCTTAGGGTAATGATAATGACCCTAAGCCCTAAACCCGTAAGCTCAGCAGGCACCTGCAGAATCCTCCGTGGTCGGCTCTTTCAGCCTTGGACTCTGGGCGCTTTTTTGAAGCCCAGACGACGCGAGATTTGAGTTCCTTTTTTGGGCTGGGTGCTTTTTCTTGAAGGCTCATTTTTCCGGCTAGTGCCGTCTCCTTCGCAGGGTTCTAGTTCTAATCAAGGGCTCTCTTTAAGGCTTGAAGGTGTTTAGGGTTTAGGGTTTAAGGCCGCTAAACCCTAAACCTACTATACGGGAGTTTCCGAAAGAGGGGACCCTAATATAGTACCCTAAATAGTAGGATCCTTATTATAAGGACACAAATAAAAGGTACCCCTAATTTTCGGAAACTGCCCATACTGGGATTACGGAGTAGGATGCCGGGGTTCAGGTGGTTTGGGACTTGCAGTTTGGGGCGTTTAGGACCTGCCTATAGTCTCCATTGTAGTTCCTTTTTTGGGTTATCCAGTTGTATGGTTAGGACCCTATAATAGAGATTTTGGTTAACCAAAAAAAGGAAATACAATGGTGACTATAGGTGGGGTTCATTGTAGGGCTGAGGTTGCAGCTCGATACCCGGAGACATCCGAGCAATGTAACGAAGATTGTAGAGGGATCCTTCATGTGCTTTGAGGTATATTTCTTCAGTAAGGGGATTTGGTTGTCTCTGGGTGGGTGGGGGGGGGCCCTTGGAGTTTAGAGATCATGTTCCAAATGGTTTAGTGATCCGCGCTTTAGGGTTTAAGCTCGAGGGTTTAACGCTCGGGTATTCATTGGTGCTTACCGTTCGAGGTTTAGGCTGCAAGTTCGCTGTTCGGTTGCGATTCGGTTTGTGGGTCTTCGATAGCTTGAACGCGCTGTTGTGTGTACTGTAGTATGATTGTACAAGGACAGCAAGCAGATGTTTGAGAACATTTATTGCTATTCGGGCCTCGAGTATAGAAGCCTGAAGTATCGACAAGACTACTGTTGATGATATGAATCCTGCATTACCCATAATAAGGAATATACCGTAATTCCCATAGTTTAGGATCCTTAAGGTAATGCAGGATTTATATCATCAACCGTAGGTAGGGTTCACAGAGCCGGCAAAGAACAGAGGGTTGGGTTTAGGGGTTTAGGGTTTAGGGTTTGCGGGTTTGGGGTTCGACCTTTCCTAGCACCTGCAAGCAAAAATCCTAGGGAAATGAATGAGTATGCCGAGAAACCGGAGAAGATCAAAAACAACCAGGCCTTTGTAATGGACCCGAGGCGGACTTCCATCCTTAAAAAAAACAGTGGCACTGAAACTCCAAAGCTCTAAAAAAACCTAAGCCGTAATGCCACAAACATCCAAGCCCAAAGTTCTATAGCACAGCTCACCCAAGCGTAAGCTGAGACTAAGCTAAACGCCAAACGTTAACCTGCCACGTCCACACCCGCAACTGCGTCAGCCCAAAACCCTCAAATCCTGCTTTTTCCACGGGAAAACTCAACTCTGAACCCCAAAAACACTAACTCTTTCAACGCTGGGATCTGAAGGCTTCCGTCGAGGCGCTTCGTTTTGGCCAAGTCTACAGCCAGCTTTGCACCTTGACGCCATGGATGGTACTAACGGCTATCCTTACCTTAAGCCGGAATAACCTACCTTTTTAAGGACTTATATAAAGAAATCATAATAAGGAACCCTAAAAAGGTAGGTTATTCCGGCTTAAGGTACAGCAATGACGATAAGAATAGTGAAACCAATACTCAAAGTAGTGTTTCGGGGTATGCTATAGTATATGTCATACATTAAGGACGCCTCAGGAGAAGTCTTAGACACTTCATCCTGCATAGTAGAGCCTCGGGGCATTACATGAAGGCGCAGGTCAATTGATGCAGCTTTTTAGTTTCTGAGTAGGGGTAGGGCGCGCACTAAATCCGCTGACCCTTTAAGTGGATGCAAAACATCCCATAACAACCTTTAACCCTAAACCGTAAACCTCAAAGCCCTGAACCCTAGAAAAAGATAACTACCGTCCTGAACTTTTCCGGTCCCCGCTCCGGGCTCAGGACTTAAGATTGGGAGGTGTCCTACATACCTGCGCACCTTCCTACGGCAAGGACTCTCTCTCTCTCTCTCTCTCTCTCTCTCTCTCTCTCTCTCTCTCTACTTGTATTTTATGCATATATACACATATTATACAGGTACGGTTAAGGGTTTAGAGTTTAGATTCGAGAAGATCGCGCAAACTTTGCTATGTATTTTGTAAAGGGTTAAGGCTTCCTGGGGTCCTACTTCAAAAACTGACAAAAAGGGTCAGGTCATAGTAGGATCTGCGACCCTTCGAAGGGTCATCTTCTTCCGCATAAGGCTACACTAGAGGCTTCTTAAGCTTGTTGGTATGAAAAGTGGTTTGGAACTTAAGAGTCAGATTTCTCTCTTCTTCAACAACCTGGCCCCAAAAAGTTCAAACTTTCTAAGATAGAGCCAACATATAAGGCAAATAGTTTAAAGTTCCCCCGTTCACTATCTGAGATTTTGAGTGAGTTTCCGATTTGGGGCTGGACTCGCTTACAGTCTTCGGCTTCAGGGGAGCTGACAGTGTGAGAAGTCTTGAGTTCTGTGGCGTTCGGGGCAGAAGCCTCGAGACATGATTGGCTGATTTTCAGGATAGCCCTAAGGGTCCATGTACCCATATAGAGATACATGGGCCCCAAAGTACCGACATAGGGCCTACATTAAGGCCAATGTATATACTACTATATACTGTATGAGTACATGGACCCTTAGGGTAGGGTAGGGCAAGGCACAGCAGTGTAGGGTGTTGGGGACTTAACGTTCATGTTTGTAGAATCCATGGGTATAAGGAGGGACCCTTAATAGGTATATACCCTTAAATATGTACCATTATAGGGTAGGGGTCCCCATTGCCATTAAGGGTCCCTCCTTTTCCTCTTTGATAGAACAACCTCTCGCAAATTAGACCTGCAACGTTGCAAGCCTGCAGCAAGCAGTCTTCGACGAGATGAGGTCTTTGTCGCACTTCCTGCTGGACCTCCTGAGCCTGGGCCTGGCGCATGAACTCCAAGAAGCTCGTGGCTTGCTCCGGCTCCTCCATAGATATGACGAGGTGTCTCCAGGCTAGCACCACTAGCAGCCCGCAGCTCCAGGAGTCTTGCTGCTGGAACAGGGATGGCTTCACCACTCGGTACTCGCCACATTGCCGCCATCCGGACTCTGAATCACTCAAGAAAGGAAGGCAGCTGTCTCTGCCACTGCACCGAAGTCCCCTCGTTCATACGGTGAGCTATACGGACGCGACATGCCAGTCGTCACCTACTTCCGGTGCCAGAGCCAATACTCATCAGTGCCCCGGCTAAGATTGTGTCAAGAGATCTCGGCCACAACCACAATGATGGCCGGATCTTGTTTTGGCTTCGCGATGTAGGTATCACTGCTAAGATAGCACGCTCAGCTCCTTCACAACCAAGCTTGGAAAAGAGACACGTCTTGAACGTGTAAGAACATCAGCGGGCTTGACTGCATCAGTATCGCTGCGTTCACTACTAGTCACGTCACCGAAAATCACTGCAGCTGTCCAAGGGCTTTGAACGCTTACTCCGCTGAGGGGGAAGACAGCAAGGGAAATTTTGTGATGCCTAGACCAACAGCCGCCACACTGTCGAAACCTCTCCTCAACTCTGCAACACACTCCAAGACCTCCTTCAGCCCTACATCTAAGAAACCCCAAACCCGGAACTCTAAATCCTGAGCCCTATAGCTGAAACCTGAAGGCTCCTAGGTTTAGGGTTTAGGGTTCAAACGCTAATTCAGACCGAAAGAAACGACGTAAAGCCCAATGCAAACACACTCAACCCTAGATTCCAAACTCCAAACCTACAGCACCACCCTAAGTCCCCAAAACATGGGCTCAAAACCCGAAACCCTTGAAGCAGAGGAACCCTTATAGAACCCTTGCAGATTTCTTCAACAAGATCATTTTATGTTCTATAAGAGTTCCTGTACTACCAGATTCAAAGAGTTAACTCTAGGTCCTATACTAGGTTCCTGTGTACCACTTTATAACAAGGGTACCATTGTCCCTACTATCCGGTTTGAACAAGGAGCCCTAAAAAAAATAGGGCCAAAACAGGGCTTCATTAGTAATTACAAGGATTGCGACTTAGGGTTTGTGTGACAAGATGACTGGGGTTCCTTTAAAGAGAGCTTGTTGAATACAAGGGATACGGCTTAAGGTTTCATGCTGGGTCGCCGACAGGTCTTCCTGCCAGATCCCGGGCAGCCCAAGAGGAGAGCACCCGCTGCTTGCGACGGCGACCCCTGTCTTGTAGAGGAGTTTGGGGCTTACGGCCCTTAAGGACTTCATAGTTGAGGCCTCAGGGTGTAGGTTTCCTAATTGTCGGGTATCATGGGGAACTAAAGTTTAACGTTTTTGGTTATATAGCGATTATATAGGGACTATACTACCCAAAAAAGGTGAGGGTTTAAGGGTTGGGGGATTACAGTAAACCCCATAAAGTTGGAAACCGGATTAAGGCCAAATAGTGCTGGGATTCCCTATACACTACCCTTAAGGATTGAGGCTATGGGGTTTCCAACTTTTGGGCTTCTACTGTAGGGTGTTTTGGGGTCTTTGGTGGTAAGATTTTAGAATTCAGTGGCGGACTTTGGGACCGCTAAGGGTCCAGGAGTCTACGCCTCATGGCGCAAATGCCCATAGGGTTTAGGGATTTAGGGTTTAGGATTTATAGGGCTTTAGGGATTTAGGGTTTAGGGGTTTTAGGGTTTAGGGATGTAGGGTTTAGGGGTTTAAGGATTTAGGGATACAGGGTTTTGGGGTTTAGGGGTTGTAGTTAAATTTACTTAGGCCGCAAACCTGACTCAGGGTACTGAGAACCCAATCCCCAAGAACCAAACGGCACTGAAGGTGCCCCGTGCACGAAAGAGCTCATTGAGGCACCGTGTAGTCCTCTCCTGCTGGGTCGCAGAATCTTTGCGCAAATCCTCGTCTGAGATCGCGAATTGCAGGTGCGATCCATGGGCCCACGTCAACGCTACATGAAGTTGAGGTCTGAAAAGACGCTCGAACATTTTAGAGGCCTGTTCGCGGATGCGAGGACATCGAAACTTCGCCTGGTCCATGCCATCATCAAAAATGCAAAGGCAAGAGGACGCCAAGGAAGCTTGCTGAATGTGTTCACCGTGGGAGCACCATTGATGGGACATGGAACGAAAAGTCCAATAGCATTGTCTGTCTTGCCATTGAACGCGTCACCGATTATAACCGCATCGATGGCTGTAGACGCAGCGGTGCATGAACCTCGTGGTCCAGGGCTTAGAATTACCTCAATACCCGCTACGATAATCCGATTTCCTGCCCTAATCCTTGATACGAGCTTTTCGGGCTGCTCCGGTAGAAACTATAGATTTGGATTTTAGCTGCTTCCGGGCTTGTTGCATATTTGGCTCAGTGGCAGGATTTTGCGACTTGGGCTCTTAAGGAGTTACAACCGGACCCTTTGGCCGAAGGACCGGCGACTACTCAAAGCTAAAGGTTGATGTTAGCAGAAGTGCATGCCGAAACTCCTGCACTCGAAACCTCAAAACCTCGATCCTAAAACCACTCATTCTAGGAACCCAAAGCCCTCAATCTCAGGCCAGATTGGCTGGGTGTGAGTTTCGGCTTTCAGGCTTTGGGCATAGGAGGCATAACCATGGTTTTGGGGTGAAGCAGTGCGAGCTCGAGGCTTTAGGGTTTCTCTAATTTGGGACTGTGCAGGTCATGAACCAGCGACCTTTGCAGTGTCCCTTGCTTTTCAGAGTGACATGATCTTTCGGGTCCGTCCTCCTTTAGACAAGTAAACCACTGGTCGGAATCACTCGCACTATGCAGTACGGCTGCAGATCCACTGTACAGGTATACTGTCCACAATATAGGGGCCTGAATAATTAAAATAGGGTTTTGGAGCCCATCATACCAAAATTACACTAAGGAACGCCCCAAAGTAGTATAGCTAATTGTTACCTTCCCAAGTAACCTACCTTTTTAAGGTCTTACCTAAAGAAATCATAATAGGGAACCCTAGAAAAGGTAGGTTCCTCAGGGGCCCCGAAACCAGCATCTTATTGCACGAGCTCTACAAGGAGCTCCTGCTTCCATGTGCAGGCTACGTCCTGCGCGACCTTACCCAACAAGACGTTCAGTCCGCTTAACCCAAGGGTAGGGGGTAGGTTAGCGTAGGAAGGGTAGTAGGGTAGGGTAGGGTTGGGTAGGGGTAGGGTAGGGTGGGTTAAGGTAGGGTAGGGGTAGGCTAATTATAGGGCCCCCAAAAAGCACATAAGCAAAAATTAGGGTAGGGATATCCCATATGAATCCCCTTATAATGAAGCCCATTAAGGTAGGGATATCCCTATAAAAGCTTATGCTTATGTGCTTTTGGGGGTCCCTAAATTATTCAGGCCGCTACATTTACACATCCGGGGTTTACCGGGTTTTGGGGGGCTTCGGCACTCGAACTTCGGAACCTTTTGGGGGGTCTATACCTATAGTCTCCATTGTAATTCCTTTTTGGGGTTATCCCATTTTATGGTTAGAACCCTATAATAGAGATTTTGGTTAACCAAAACAAGGAACTAGAATGGAGACTACAGGTAAGGTTGAGAATGCAAACGCGGCAGAATCACGAGCTGCAGCGCCCTGGCGGTACCCAACACAGCTCCGATCATATCCTGCGGCAGGATGTAAGCTCCAGCTTGTACACACAAGACTATCCTCGCAAACCGAATGAACTGCATGCAACCTCAAAATCTTAAGAAGTCGTCCTGAGAGGGAGTCAAAGCTTCGTGGAAAATACAGGGTCTGAAGAAGCAGAGATCCCTGGGGGGTAATTATGCTACACATAGCCCTTTTACGGGGACTGCGAGGAATTCCAGCGTCAAACCCGGAGGCAATCGAAGCACTGGAGCTTCTATTTCCTACCCTCGACCTACCTGGTTTGTAGGGTTTTGCAGATACAAACAGAAACCATGTGGCCCGGAGAGAAACTTAAACCACTGCAGCAACGAGCTGCTTTTGTGTGCTGCGTTGCTGTGGATGGCTCAGTGCCACTTTGTTGCTAGCTCTCTTGACGTAGCAAAACAGTTCGGGTTTGGGCACCTCCGCTGACACAACAGTTTAGAAACCCAGCCTGTTCACACCGCAAACTCCGAGCCGTAAATCCCGAAAGCAACACACTTCAGAGGTGAGGGCTCAACAAAAGACCCTGCCTATAGTCTCCATTATAGTTCCTTTTTTTCGTTAACCAAAATCTCGATTTTAGGGTCCTAACCATAAAACTGGATAACCAAAAAAAGGAACTACAATGTTGGCTATAACTATAGGTAAAGCTCGAAGTTTCAGAACTTCAGATATGTGACACAGGAAGCAAGCCCCTAACAGAACCCCAAAACCTCTCAGGAGTTCGGGTAGCCCAACCCACCAAGCCGTCTAAGGTCCTCGTACACCGCAAAGGGCATGGCGAGCTCAAGCATCTGTGCACTCCTGGGGCGTAGGGCTTTACTGGGGTTCAAGCGTTCACGAGGTCTGAACTTCTTGTGAAAGGGCTGTGATTATCGTGATTCCTTCAGGGTTTCTTTGCCGGTTTGTAATTTTTCTTACGTGTATGATGGTTTTATAGAGGAGGAAGAAGCAGGCTTAGCCGAGCGGTTGATAGTTGATAGGGTATTGTCTGGCACACCGCAACAGTAAAGGGTTTGGCGCGGATGCCTCAACTGGAATGTCTTTTTGGGCGGGGGTTGCTACAACGATATCCAGGGCCATCCGCAGGTTGAGTTCAAAGTTAGGGTTTAAGGTTACCTTTATAACATGGAAATTCGTTTTTTCAATCAAGATCCTCCTGCAAATAAACCCGCCAGCCCTTTAATAAGGCCTAAACCCGAAAGCCCACATCCGGAAATTTAAACCTAAGAAACCCGACAGCCCAAAATCCTAAAGGCCAAACTGACCATGAAGGATTTAGGTTGTCTCGGCTTTTTCCGTGGCTTTGACTCTTGATGTATTGCGGCTTCTCTCAGCCCCCCCCCCCCAAACACCATCGCACGCGGATAAATCCCATAATCCCTGACTCTTAAACAAACTCTGGTACGGAGTTTCCGGTCCTTCTCAAGTTCTCTTTGGCCTCAGCCTCGTTCCAGAACTCGGCCGTGCCCTTGTTTAATGCCTCGGGCATTTCGCTTCGAGTCATGTCCAAATGGCCTAACACCCCTTGAAAGCGAGGACTATGCGCTGAACTTGAACCATAGCAGGAAGGCCTACATGTAAAAGATCGCCGTCTGCATACATACATACCCATGTACACGATACACCCCCTTCAAAAATAACAGTCTCGTTCGCATGCTAGACTACTATGGCCAGCCGTGTACCTTGCATGTTATTTCTTACTACCAGTATGTGTTCGGCGCTTGCCGAACAACCCAGGGGCTATGGAAAACGGCCTTGTTTATCAATCGGTGGATGTGCACAGGAACGAGGTCTGAATAACGTATAATAGGGCCTTTGTAAGGCTGTAACGTACCCTCAAACCCCAAATGTTTGTTTGACACTATGTCACGCCTGTCCTTATACTGCTTGTATTGGCAAACACAACAAGGGTTCTCAGTCAACCAAAGATCACTATTCTTCATTAGGTGACCTCTGGAAAGGACAGTTGAGTACTACTTAAAAGCCCAAAAGTTGGAAACCCGATAGCCTGAACCCTTAAGAGAAATTAATGTACAGGGAATACCAGCACTATTTGGCCTTAATCCGGTTTTCAACTTTTTGGGGTTTACTATACACTTCTCAGATCTCGGGTGCAAGGTGTGAAAGACTTTGGAACCTTGCATTCCAGAGACTTAGGCCTTAAGCCCTGAGCCCCTAAGACCCTAATTAGACGGTAACGGTTAGGGTTGGGGTCGAGGCTGGTAAGGCTGCGCACTGGCCACTCTGCTGAATGCTTTCAGCTCCTTTAGGGGTCTGCGCGAAAGCTAAACCCTAAACCATAAACCGGAGCGACAACTGCACCGGCTGGTCTGGTATGAAGCCGTTTGCCTTTTGACCAAACCTTAACCTTGGGCATAATCCACCCACGGTGTAGGGCCAAAAGCTGGATTGAAATGTGCAGCTTTTCGGTGAGGTTTGAGATTTAAGGTTTAGGTTTTGAGGGTTTCGGGTCTAGGGGTTTGGGGTTGTAGGGAGCACCGAAAAGACCAACGGGCCTTAGATAGATAAGGCCTTCCTTTGGACTCACGGGTGACATTCACTCCAACATTCTCTAAATCTTAGTGATTCCAGGGCTATAGGGTTTGCCTTAACCCCAAGTAACCTACCTTTTTAAGGTCTTACATCAAGATACCATATTAGGGAACCCTAAAAAAGGCAGGTTCCTTAGGGTCCAGGTAGGGTTTGCTACAAGTAACTAAGAGCTTCGGGGGTTTAGGACTTAAGACTTATGTTAGTCCTGGAAGTTGAAACCCTCCAAGACCTCGAACAAAAAACTTAAGCCTAAGCCTTTCGCCCTAAACCTTGCCTCTAAACCCTCATTAGGGACCTTAGTAATTAGAATAGGGTTTTGGGGCCCATTATACTATAGTTATAATTATAATAATGAACCCCCCAAAAAAGTATAGGTAATGATTTAGGCTCCTATATTGCAACCCCAAGGCACTACACCCCAAAACCCTAAACCCTCGAACCTAAACACTAACCCCACAACTTTTCTTGCGATACAACTCTGAGAGCACGGCAACCGTGCAGGGTCCGTTTGTCTCATCCGCCGACCTCACACGCTCAGGGCTTCGGGTCTAGGGTTTGGGAGGTAGAAACAGCTTCGGGTACTGATGTGCTTCATGAGATCTTGTTCGTGAGTGTTGCTGTGAGGGTAACTGCTCATCTGGCTGAATACTGTTCGCAAAGCTGCCTCGCGCAGCCATCAACCCCCACAACCTCTCAAACACACAGCGAAGCACAGTTCGAATGGATGATAGCCGTTCATTGCAACCGGCGTTGTTCTTATTGTTTCCATCCGGGTTGATGTAGGGATCTAAATAATTACCAATACTATTTGGAAGGTTCCTCAAAACAACTGCACTTTAAAATCCACTAAAATCCTATTCTAATTACGACGGCCCTCTTACTACCAGTATGAAACCTAGCACTACCCCCTAAACCCCTAGACCCTAAATCCCAAACCCCAAGACCCGTAACTCTAAAAACCCCAAACCCCAAACACCTAAACCCCTACAGCCCTAAACTGAGGCCCGGGCCGATAGAGACCGGCCTCCTCGAACATGTCGGCAAGTCGGCGGCGATCCTGGCTTCGGATGTTTGCGGCTGTTAATGCCAAAGTCTCAACCCCGACTTCTCGCCTAAATCCTAAACCCTAAACCCTTAATCCCAAATTTCTCAACCCTAAGTTCTAAAATTTCTCAACCCTAAGTTCTAAACACTGTAAACCCTCCATTGTCGCCATGAATAGAGTCATGGGCTCAGGGCTTACAACTCCGGGCTTCAATTCAGGGTTTAGGTTCATCCATGCCGGTTGAAGGTGATGTAGGAACCTGACTAAGAAACCCTGACCCGATAACCCCCACAATAGTAGGGTTCATATAAGGAACCCTAATAGAGGCCCAAGGTTTCGTAATCTAGGGCCCCAAAAAATCACATAGAAAAAATTAGGATAAGGATATGCCATCTAAACCCCCCTTATCATGAAGCCCAACAAGGTAGGGGTATCTCCTTAAAATGCTTATGCTTATGTGCTTTTTGGGCACCTAATATCCAAGGGTAAAAGGACGGACCCTTAATAAGGACCCCTAGGTATATATCCTTAATACAGCTATGATATACCCATTATATAGCCCATTGTAGGGTAGGGGTCCCCATTAAGGGTCCCTCCTTTTCCCCTTTGATAATAATCAGCTTCCTACATTATGGGCCGCCAGCCTGTCCTCGGGGCTTTCCAGGCGAGAGCCCAGCTGTTGCGTGCCTTCATACCACACCTAGGCCAGCGTCTTTAGGGTTTAGGGGTTTCAGGGTTTAGGTTCTACGGCTGATGATATAAATCCTGCACTACCCATAATCAGGAATATACCATTCTTCCCGTAGCTTAGGGTCCTTAAGGTACTGTACTGCAGGATTTATATCATCAACAGGAAGGTTTTCTGCTTCTGTGGCGGGGATTACCTATAGTCTCCATTGTAGTTCCTTTTTGTGGTTTAACCAACTATATATTAAGAATCCTATTAAAAGGTAAACCAAAAAAAGGAACTACAACGGAGACTATAGGTAGGATCCTTCAGGTTTTAGGATCCTGCGGGTTTGGGCTTGAGGATCCTGGGGTTTACATGGTGGGCAGGGGGGGTGTCAGTTTGGGGTTTAGGGTTTGGGGTTTAGGGTTTAGGGTTTAGGGTTTCGGGTTTAGGGTTTAAGGATTAGGGTTTAGGGTTTCGGGTTTGGGGTTTAGGGTTCAGGGTTTAGGGTTTAAGGGTTTAGGGTTTAGGAGATTCACAGCTTTACCCTATGCCTCCAGGGACCTCAGTATGGGGTCATTTAGGGGTCTAGGGCCCTAACCATGAGGTCCTTGTGCGGTTGTGGAGTTCAGGTACAGTTTGGAGCTTTGGTTTTGTAGAAGCACATCAAGAAATATTACTCTTCGTTCTCATCCGATTGTGGGTTTCAGGGTTAGGGTTCATGGATGTCGACGCGTGTGGCTGGAGTCACTGTCGAACTACATACTCGACAGCACCACCAGCTTGGCCTTTGTCCAAACGATTGTGACATATTGCGACAACAACGACTGCCAAAGGTGCAACGATTACAAGGGCTTGTGCATGGGGATCAATGCAGAGCAAGCATAAACACTCTTAGTTGGGGCTGTGAGCGACTATAAGTATTACCCTAGTACGAACCAAATGACTCAAATCCAAGATCCTGTAGAATACTGTGCTACTATGTGCTATTGAACACTAAAAGCTTCTCGCACAGTGCTTAAGGTGTAGGGTTTGCAGCCATTCCAAAAGCGGCCCCAAAACAACCCTGAATACTGCACCACAGCTTTGAAGCCTCAAGTGTCGCACATGCACACACCACAGACTTGAAAACATTTTTCCTTCCAGACAAGCTCTCTAGACATCACTAACGATAAGGGCCTTCGGTCGCAAATAAGACCTTGTGAATCTCGTCCTTAGGTCGCAATACACACGAATTTCAGTGGCTCCTCAATGTCAATTCCAAAGTCCTAAATCCCTAAACCCCGAAAGCCCCCTCAAGAAAACCCCGTAGACTCAGCTTCGCACCACTTGCTTCAGCATCGCAGTCGAGGTTACCAGGTCCGTCGTCTGAAGTAGCCGCTTGAACCTCCGACTTTCGAGGGCTTTTCGGGGCTTAAGGGCTGAGGAGTTTATGGGTTTTTAGGGCTTTAGGGGTTTAGGATTTTTTTGGTTATTAAAAGGGCTCTAGGGGTTTAGGATTCAGGGGTCGAGGTTTGTTTTCTTTGAGCGCCTTTCTCCGTCTGCCTAGAAGGTAAGATAAACAGAAGGCTCATTTGAGCCCGGCACGGCTCGCTGGACCCTCTGCATTGTCCGCCTTGTTTACCGCCTTGCTTCCAGCGCGGCTTGCTGTTCCCGTGATGGCTGGCACCTTGCAGCCAGTGCGGCTGGGTCGCCCCTAAACTCCTAAACCCTAAACCCTATACCCAACGCGTTGAGCAACGCGTCCGTTGGATTTGCTGAGGCCGTTGCTTCCTTCAAGAGAGCACGGGCCTGCGGTCGCGCTGATCGATCCGCTCCTGGATGGAGCGGGTCATCCTGGCATCGCCGGGTGTAGCGCCACTGGACATCTTGGCTGGTGAAGAGATGTACAGGAAAGCCCTGTGCAGCCCACACTGAACCCTTGAGCGGGGTTAGGGGGGTTTAGGGGTTAGGGTGTGGGGGTTTAGTGTTAGGGTTTCTTGGTTTAAGGGGTTTAGTTAGGGTTATGGTTAAGGGCTGCAAAGACCCTCGGCGAGACCCCTGAGATGAATGTACATCGAAAGCAAACCCCCCCGGTAGTCTGCACACATTTTGAACTTATGCTTATACCACCAAACCCTACCTCCGATACTAAAATCCCAATCGTGTGTGTGTGTGTGTGTGTGTCTGTGTGTCTGTGTGTCTGTGTGTCTGTGTGTCTCTGTGTGTGTGTTCTTTTGTGACTTTTTCAGGTGTTGGACTTTGTCCTTGTTGGGCTCGTGTGCTGTTCTAACGCTGCTGCTGTTGCATCGCCGTTGCTGTCTTGGTCGTCGTCGTCATGACCACCACTGCTGCTGCTGCTGCTGCTGGTGTTCTTCTGGCTGCTGCTTTTGATGTTCTGCAAGCCAGAAAATGCAGCCCCAAATGAAACCTCCAACAAACTCGTCTTACCTGAAAAATTGAAAAGCACCTAAGGCTGCACATGTTAGCATCATTGTTCCCTGTGATGTCGCAGTAGTGCATGCTTGTGTGACCTCGTCGTAGCTAACAGATGCCTGTATCCCCAAACCCGTCAAAATCATGGGCCATGACCCCTAACTAAAGGGTATATGATAACGCTATAACGCATAAAACAGTACCTAGGTTTGTGGATCCCTATGTATACCCTGAACCCCTAAACCCTAAACCCACCATTTTCCCTAAACCCCTAAACCCTAAAACCCCAAACCCTAAACCCCCTAAACCCTATTTTTTACCTTCTATTCCTAAACTTTATACTTTATTTGTTTAAACCATTTTAAACCCATCAAGGATCTGGCCATTTGGCCACATCCACGAGGGGCAGGACGTGGAAGAGCCGCTGCGGCGTCTGCTGAAAGGTCCCGGCGGCCTGTCGGCTCTTGGAAGTTTAGGAGTTTAGCAATTTAAAATTTTAGGATCCTTAATATATAATTGGGTAAACCAAAAAAAGGAACCACAATGGAGACCATAGGTAGGGGTGTTTAGGGCTTTAGGATTTTAGGGTTTTTGTTTTGTGGTTTTGGGGCTTTAGAGTTTCAAGGTTTTAGGCTTTTAGGGTTTAGGGGGTAGCTCTTTTCACTTTGCAGTGCTTAGGTTCTGAACCTGACGGGGTTGAGGATTGCCTATCACAGCTATTGATGTGTTTTGGGCTCTGAACAGGTTTTGCACGATCGTCAGGGCTGTGAAGGATTTGCTAGCTCTTATCGGATTTCCGCCTCAAGCGCGTAGCGTCTGGGGGTGGACTATTCTTGGCTCACTTCTGAACCCCTCCTAAAAGTTAGACTTTTTGCCTCCTTTTTTTAGTTTATGTAGTAGAAGCCCAAAAAGCTAAAGTCTAAAGAGCCAACCAGAAGAACGCCAAGTATTGGGCGCTTGGATTCAGGAGCCTGAAGCTCGGGACGAACGGAAAAACACAAAAACAAAAAAAAACGAGGGAAGCTGCGTTTGGGGTTTGAGGTTCCGTGGCTCCTGCCGACCTGCTAGTAAGTAGGTAGTAAGTAATGAGGTTTATAAGTACCCTACAAGGGACCCTAATTGGTCTCAAGTGGCTTTTCCGTACCTACATATAGTCTCCATTGTAGTTCCTTTTTTTGGTTAACCTGTTTTATGGTTAGGACCCTATAATAGAGATTTTGGTTCACCAAAAAAGGGAACTACAATGAGGAAGCAACCTCCGATTCCGTGGAGCTCCGAAGCTTTATAGGGTTTAAGCTGCAGCTGGGGAAGCTTGCCATTTTTGGGCTTTGCGTTTAGTAGAGGAGCCTTACTAATCCCAACAAAAGTGCAGTTCGGTTAGATAACAATGTGGTTCTATAGGGACTTTCAAGTGATATATGATGATTTGTTTACTACACTTACTGGATACTCAGGTCAAACCTCACTACTACGTAGACTCTGCGAGTTGGATGTCTGCATGAGGCATGCCCATCTCTTGGTAAGCTAACTGTAGCTGGATATCGAACCCTACTTCAATCCCCGAAGCCTAATCTCCAAGCAACCCAACATCAAGCCAAAACCTACTGTAAGCGCCCTTAGACGATCCGGCCTCCCGAACGAGAGTGACGATCTTTGTGGCCAAACCGTGCGAAATAAGCAGCATGCCTTCGACATAATATAGGGGCTTTCATAATTAGAACAGGGTTTTGGGGCCCATTCTACTATTCTTATATTGAGGAACCCCCAAAATAGCACAGGTAGTTATTAAAGCCCCTATATTACCCATTTGGATTCTCCGCAGGGCTTTCGAAACTCAGAGGGTGATTTTTTTTGAGCTCCTTTTTCATCCCAGAGGCAGCGAGTCTGCGACTTCTCAGAGCTTAGAGTTTAGGGTTTAGCGTTTGGGGCTATGGTTGCTGCATAAAATTCAGGGTTCAGGGCTTCTGGCTGCTTCGAGCTCCCTACACCCTAATAAACCTATCAGCACCGCAGTTCACACTGCGAGTAACAATTCATCCACGGTCTGAAGCGGTTGTAATGGGGTCTTGGGGTATATTACAGCATATCCATATATAGGAGTTGTAGATGGGTATGATTACTATCGCCTAGGACTCTATATTCTGATTGTGCTTTTGCTAGGTGTGGCTCCGGGTTCGGGTGTTCAAGGGTTAGGGGGTAGGCTGCCGGATTGAGGTTATATGTTTCGGGTTTCAGCTGTCGATTCAGAGATTGGGGATTAGGGTGCAGGGGTCAAGGGCGATTTGTGGTGTTGAAGAACCGTGATGTTTCAGTCGGGAAAGTCTTATCACACTATCATGATGCAGGAGGTCCATACTGAGAAGCCCTAACCCCAAACCCAGCACCCATGGGTGAGAAACCCTGAACCCCAAACGGCGCCACACCGATCCCTAAACCCTTCGCTGGTAGGCTCCGGACATGCCGCACCCATCTCATATTTCTCCTCATTGGTGCCCTAGCGGCCCACCTACCAAGCAACCATATACGGCGCCCAAACACTAACCTGCACTGCTGCTCTCTTCAACCCAAGTACCTATCGATGAGGTCCTTTGGACCCCTGAGGGTAGGGCCTTATGAGGATGGCTTGTTAAACCCTAAACCCTAACCTCTTAAACCCCTATAAACCCAAAACCCCTATAAGCCCAAAACCCTAAACCCCAAACCCTAGAACCCCCTATAATTAAGCCCTATAAACCATAAACGCCCCGACTGCGAACCCCAGTGCCAGCCAGCTGCGAGCTTCCTCTGATGGGATGCTGGTGGACCAGTGCAGCACCAGCCGATCACCTTACCACGCAAGTTCGGTTTAGGTTTCAAGGTTTAGGGTTTGGGTGTAGGGTTTTGGGTATAGGGTGTGGGGTATAGGATTTAGGGTGTAGGGTTTAGTAGTAAGGACATTACCATGCAATAGGGCTTCGGATATCTTAGCACAGATACAGTTGGGGATTTCGAACTTGCCAGCCAAGGTCGGTTCAACACCAGCCTCCGCATCAAATTGAAAGTCTTGCTGATCTGAAAGTCGCACCTCCTGCAAGCTCTTAACACCCCAAAAAAATCCAAGTCCCAAACTCAAAACCTCAAAAGCTGATAGTCGAATGGGACCAGATCCGTGAACCCCTATACAAAAAGAGACAAGAATCAAGACCTCAACCTTAAGCCTGCTGTGTCGAAACCCTCAAATTCTTAACCCATCTCAATAAAGCTCATTTCCTACTATTTGCTTAAGAACCCCCCAAAAAATAAAAAATATATTCCCTATGGGGGTAATATAGGGATTATTATTTTTATTTTTCGGTGGTTTCTTAAGCAAATAGTAGTTTCTCATTAAACCATGCCAATGTTTCGGAAGAGGATGGTTGCTCGCTTGAGCTTGTTGGGTCCTCTCCTAGATTCAATCCTCCATCATCGCGCCTCGTAAAGAAGATGGGTCTGCGCTCTTTCACCTCTAGATTGAGGATTTCGAACTGAGCCTTCGACGGAGCAAGTGAAATCATGCTTGTGTGTAGAAGCATTGCTGCTTGGGGTAAATATGCAATCGTAGGGGTTGACAACCGTAGCCCGTCCTTTATATTGTCAAGTTATACGCCAAGGGGATAAAGGTTGCCTAGGTTTAGGATTGTGGTTGAGGGTTTAACCATGAAGCCTCCTTAAACCCTAAAACTCTCATCCTAAAGCCTACGAAGTACCGGTACCGATCGCCGTGTTGCTTTCAGGCAGACATATTATGCACCTTCTAGGTGTGCACCGGTAAGATCCTTGGGGGTTTACGATTTCTCCTCGGCTTGCCAGGTCACAAAGATGGTTCAGCACCTTGTCCTGTGGCGCTGGTAGCTGCAAGACCTCAGGAGAGGGGCTCTCATTCCTTCACACTCGGCTTCTTTCAGGGCTTTGTGGGTTATTAAACTTTAATGGGTTTAACAAGGGGCTTGGGGTTTAGAGCATAGTGTCGACTTCCTTCGAACTTCGCCATGCTGAATCCTAGCAGAAAGCCCAAGTCGGACTTTGGGAGGGTTTGGGTCTCGGTGGTTGTTGGGCTGAGCTCGTACTGCTTTAGGCTTTGATGGTGTGCAGATATAGGGTATAGGGTATAGCTTTCCGGGTTTAGGGTTTACGTGATTTAAGCTTTCCTTTGTTTTTGGCTTTGTGCACCGATGTGATGTTTCAGGCTTCATGATTCATCATAGGGTTTCAGGGTTCGGGGCCTAGCATGGTTCAGAGCCTGAGGCTTTCGGGCTCATAGGGCTTGGGGCTTCCTGCCATAATGCTGCTCTGCGGCCAAGAAATGGCGTAGCCATCGCTTGCCTTCGCGTGCAGAGTTCGCTATGCAAATGGGATTTCCCCTTTGCTTCCCGGCTGGAGATTGCGTATGGAATATTCACGCATTTCCTTCAGCAACCTACACTGCGATCGTCGTTGTACCTGTAGGGGCTTTGTACATCAACAGTACATCTAGAGCAGACTTTCACATGTTTGGTACATGCACCGCACAACAAGGAAGCCCCGAAATCAACTTGGGGCATTACGAGAACCGGTGCTCTTTCTTCCAATGATTGTCGAGACTCCCTACATTAGACCTTGGAGATAAAGTTTCGTAAGGACTGTTCCTAAACCAGATCCTCTGATTGGAATGCAAATGCAGTTTGGTGGATCCTTTCCTGTGAAAGGAAGGAGCCCTGGGGACGAGTATTCGCAATTCCGCTCAGTGCTTTCCCTACTGGTGCTTAAGGGAGAGTGGAGGAGGGAGTATACGGACTGCTTCAAGGATTATACAAAAACTCTTTTTGGCATCCACTCTCCCACTCTCCCTTGAGCACCAGTAAGTCTAGCCATCCGTTGAGGAACATGAGGAACCATGACCCTGGTAGGGTTGAGGCTGTAGGGTTTAGAACTATGTAAGGTTTAGGGTTTAGGGTTTAGAATGAAGGTTTAGGGTTTAGAGTTTAGGGTTTGAGGCCGATGGTATTGGCAAGCTGCATGTGCAGTACAGTACAGGGAAGTGTTCTCAAACCCCAGATACTGCGAAAATGGAACGTTTGCGACTGGTATCAACTATCATCCTTATCCGGGGTACCCTGACCCGTATATCTCAAACACCGAGCCGCGTTAGCCTTGTAAGAGCCTTCTCAAACCACTTAAAAGCCCTTAAGCTGCACAAACAAACTTAGAAAACAGACTTTTGGATTCATCTGATATGGCAAGAATGACAAGATAGGACGATGCAGGGTGTGAGAACCAAGCTCTTCGGTTTACTCGCCTGTGTTGCATACAGTCGGCACCTTCGAATTACAGGGCCTGAGGCTTCAGGTACAAGAAGTTTGCAGCATGCCGGGCGGGCTTAGCGTTAGGGTTAGGGTTTGTAGGGCTTTTAGGTTGTGGAGTTTGGTCTTCAGGGCAATTAGGGTTTTAGCTCAAAAGGCGTACGGTTTGTGGTTTGAGGTTTTGGGATAACATCAGGGGGCTGGGCCTGCCTTGAGTCGTCTGAGTGGCATTTCCGAGGACATCAATGCACCTCAGTCCCAAACAAGGAGCCGGTATACTCTGGCATAATTCTATACCCAAGATAAGGAGGAATCTTGTCATTTCAGACACTTCTTGAAGGCCGTCAACCTTGAACCCTAAGCTTATCCGGGCCGTAAGTTTGGAGTTTACACCACCCTCGACGTCTTGCTCCACCAAACGATCTGCAAATCTGAAGCCGGAGCCCAGAACACAGCTCTGATTCCCAAGCCCTCAACCCCCAGCCGCGCGCTCTCTCTGTGACAAAACTATCTAATGACTGAGGTCACTAACACCAAAAGCCTGATGGAAACTTGAAATCACCCTAAGAAAAACACCCTCCTAAAGCTTCTATAGTAACCCCATCCCTATCTTTAAAACAACGGTTATAGGATCACTTATAAACCCCCGTAGACCGTAACATTAACACAACCTCTATGAGACTGGGCTTTTAAGTAACCAGGGAGAAAAAAGTATAAACTTTTATTTCACAAGGGTTCCTTTAAGAAAAAAAGTATTAAAGTATGGTACTCCAAAGCCCAGGAGACTACACCTCACACCCTGAAAGACTACTCGTGTTTTCCGACTCCGAGCCCCCTGGCACACGCGATCCGTGCAGGGAGGCACCTGGAACGCCGACAAAGAGCGAGTCTCTACCAGATTCTGAAGGCTGGTTTTGTGTAACGTTTTCTATGGGTGCTTGTAGAAGGCACGGTCGGGTTTCATAGGGGCTTCGGAATCACTTTCAGCGCGGAGATGGGGTTGAAAGTCTGGAGTTTGGGGCATAGGAATCAGGGTTCAAGGCTTCGGGCTTAGAAAGGTACGCGGACTACATTACCCTAAGGGTCCATGTACAGAAACATAGTATATACTTTGGGCCCAATGTACCTACATAGGCAGTACTTTAAGGCCAATGTATATACTATATGAGTACATGGACCCTTAGGGTTATATGGCTTGGTATGTTGAGGGCTTGGGTTGGCTAAGGTGCAACGCTTTCGGGTGCTAAGGGAGTTTTGGGAGAGAGCGTGTTGTCAGTCGTGCATGGGGTTGCCATGAGGAAATGCGAAGCTTGAAACAGCGCGGCGACTGGACAACTTGGGCTAACATGGGAATGGGGAATTCCAGAGCGGCACTCCCGCCCTAACGAGAAGTTAACATCGAAGTATGGACCATTCTGCAGTCCGAAGCGAGGACCTCAGGATGCGGTTTGTTCAGCCTAACAGCTCAAACCTTAGCCAAAGACCTTCGATGTCTTTTGTAGTTAAAGCCCTGAAAATCCTAATAAATGTTCAACCCGAGCCCGAAACCCGAAACCTAAACCCATAAATCCAAAACTCCGAAAGCCCCGAACCGCCTGGCCGCTGCAGCGCACCCGTCGCGAGGCTGCCGGTCTCCATGACCTCCCAGCTTTTGGGGGTTTAATCGGAGTTATATACGTATATGATGAGTGTATCTTGAAGTCGAAAATCAAGGTTTTTTGCAAGGGTGTCGGAGAGCTGCTACAAGAGATATGGGGCATGTTTAGCGTTTAGGGGCCAGCAGGCACGAACGGAAACCTTCTGACTCCAGCCCCACGAGACTCTGATAGATACTCGCGGTTAGGTACTGTACTTGAAGACGGGGCACGGTATGACCCAATGGGCAGCATCTGTAGCGTATTAAAAAGGTACTAGCACATGTCTCAGGTTAAGCTATACTATCGATTTCAACTTTTGCACAGGCCTCCGACGTTGCTTGACAAACCAATTACACATGTTGAAACTAAGATTTAAATAATAGAAGGTTGAGCCAGAATACTTTGGTTCTAGAAGGGCCTCACAGGATACTACAACCGATTGTTCCAACCTCCTACGTCACCTCTCGGGCTTGGGCTTCGTTTCGGGGTTAGGGCCTTGAGAGAAGGACTGAAGTATGGGCGGCTGAGGCCTCAGCTTTACCTGTCCCCCCACCTCAAAACAAAACGCATTTGGAGGCTTCCTTGTTCGGATTCCCGCATACAGTGCCTGGAAAAGATACGTTCTTTTATTACGGGTACGGGTACGTGGTGTTGAGGCTTCCAGCTGTAGCCTGACGAGCACCAGCAAATCCCTGCGTCGAGCTTGCCGCTTCTTTCGCGTTAGCTTCAAGGCCTCGTCTGTCATCGTAGCACTTTTGGCTCGCTCTCAAATGCTACTGAAAGATTTCAATAGTGTATAAGTGGCACTTAGTGCTGTGCCGGCCGTGAGGCACCGTACATTCCCTAAGCACCCGGAAGTTCATACTTCGGATCTTTAGGGCAGCGGACCTTCCTCGGTCGCCTGATCGGGTTGCTGCCCTTGTGGCTTTTCCAAGACATCCATGGCTTTCAACAACTCGGCATCCGAAACGCCTGCGGAAAAGAGGCTGACCTTCACTCCGATCTGAGGCCACTTCTGGACCAACTCAACATAGGCCGGGAGCGTAAGCACCTCGCTTGCATGGTCTTTGATGAAGGAGAGACACGCCTTCTCAAGCTGTTTCGCTTGCAGAAGATGTGCTTGGCATAGCATGCCACAAACATGTGATCTTTCGATTTGTTCAGAAAGCTTCGCCTCGCACCAACACTGCAGCCGTTTCACTTGATACTTGTGACTTACGGCTAAGAGTGCCAGAATCCTCGACTGCTTGGGGCTGCCGCTCTCATTCTCGCGTTTGAGGCCCCCTGCGGACAGAGGTTCTGGGCATCAGGCAATTCGTCCGTGTACAGAAACTGCAGGAAGGCCTTGAAAGTGACGACTTCGCAATCCTCGATCACGATGACTTTCGAGATGCTCTCCTGCATGCCGGCCATCAGCTGCTTGCTGAACACCTCGGACCTGGCACAAAGAACCTGCGAGTGGGCATGGATCACTTCGTCTTGCACCATGAAACGAACGTCGCTGCATGTACCCTCCTTCAACAGCACCTCCGTGTCCTTGTGGAGCGTCGGTTCAGGAACCTCTGCGAGGTGCAGATGCTGTCTTGTTGCACATCCCGGAGGACAGACTTCGAGCTCGAACTTCACGGTCAGGGTATCGTTCTCCACCCACTCCGACTGCAGCAGCTCCTCATGGCTCAGCCCGAAGATGCCCAAAGAAACAGGAGGATGCTCCGGCCAATGCACATCGGGGCCGTATGCCGATACTAGCCCCCGATGGACTATATCCCGCCTCTCGCCCCATCGCACATAGTCACCGTTCCGGGCCTTAACAAAAATACCATACCGAAGAGCAAACAGTGCATGTGCATCACCGGTCAGCACTATTATGGCCAGAGACCCGCGCAGCGGCTTCTGATTGCAAACGCGGTGTGCCCATGGACTGTATCGAAAGTAGAAGATCTGATCGTCAAGCTCAAATTGCGAGGAGGCAAAATCTTGCCCAGCCATCTCGAGCACGCAGGACATCCAGGACAATCCTTCGATCCTCCACACATACTCGCCCTTAGCCACTTTCTGCCCGAAGTTGGTGCTTTCGCCACCACTTGCTTGCATCACAGCTGGCTTTCTGGGTCTCCGTCCAGATTGAGATGCATTTCCTGGCAATATTACGTCAATGGCCTGTCGTACAGCGCTCTCGTGATCGTTGCGTTCCCTGGCAGCTTCCAGCCAGGTCCTTACGTCGTACAGATCTTGTCGCAGCCTGTACCGCTCCCTGGCCTGCTCGGTCTCGTCCCGGAGATCCTGGTGCCGGGCGTCCTCGGCATCGGCCTCTCGTCCGGCAGCCTCGATCTCGGCTCGCAGCTGCTCGGCGGACATCGACATCATCGGGTCCTCCATCGAGTCCTCCATTGCGGTGCCGAGGGCTCTGAGGCGCCCAACACTGTGATACAAGCCGGAGACGAAGTGGCTGCAGCATATTCGGCTGTCTTTGGAAAGGTAAGAATCTCAAGTTTAATACAATTCAAGGAAACTCGCTGTCTCTATTCACAGTTGAGGTTTGGAGCCCAGTGTACTCCCGGCCTGCCGAAAGCGTTCTTGCAAACATCCCGACGCCATGTGCACATCATCGACGATCAGCCGCATGCCACCAGACAGCCTGATCAGTCACGGGCAGACGGTTAAGATGCCTGATACAAGGTCATGTATCCTCTGGACTACATACCCCTGGACATATCACAAGTCTTGGCCTTTGGGGTCAGAAAAATCAGAAAGTTGCCCGAAGGCTTTGTTGTCTTGGGTGGGACACTCAAGGTGCTTGCGAACGCAACTCTACGAACAAAAAGCTTTCATACAACGACCCAGAAAGGGAACGAACATCACCGCGCCAAGCTCTGCAGCATACAGGAAGGGTTCGGTACCCGAACATTCACTGCCTTGACTCGCTTACTTCCTGCTTCCGGACCCTTACAAGAGCAGAGGTCGTGCAATCCACGGCATGGACGCAGGACGAGAATGAGCAGGCCATCCCACAAACAACGGACATCCTGAGACAAACAGCCCAAGCAGCTAGAATCGTGGAATTGCATGGTAGGTAAACTATGGGGGAATAACTGATCCGAAAACCAAACACCCGGAAGCGCATGTAGTAGACGGTTGTTGTCTGTGGGAACTATGTAACCCCTGTAGGGCATTGAAACCTATAGCAACCCATCATGTTGTCAGCTGCTTAAAATACTGCATTTCTTGCCTTCATAAGACTGTGATCGTTGTTTACGACAGGGTCGATTCTTAGATGGGGTCTGCGGGTCTGGGCAGGCTTGCCGGTCGTCGATACCCAGCCTCGGCGCTGGAATCAAAAGTCGCAACTCTGCGATTCCAGGACCTCTAGGCCCCATGCCTATAAAGCTCATACTACACCCTCACGACCCCTTTACACCAAAAAGCGCCAGCTAGATCCATAAATCTGATCTGCAATCGAGCCTGGGCATTCTCAGCTTTAAGAAGCGACTGAGGATGGCCTTAGCAGCCAGACGAGGTTGGGCTGGTTTTAGGGTTGTATGCAGGTTTCATAGGGTCTCAGTCACTTACACAATGGGTTATGCTATAGTAGATCTTCGCACTGCAAGACTTTGCATGTGCATAGATGCCGGGGTTTACCCCAGGTCTAAAATCAGCAAAAGTACAAATGCTGAAGGGGTAACTGGGCTTCTGATGAGCGCTAGCGTAAGGGGGTTAAAGACAGAGGAGGTGTCCTAGGGCACAATGCAGTATCACAGAAGGGAGTACCCTAACACGACATGTGCAGACCTATCTGAAACACTCAGCGAACGTATCACTTCCACCGTTCAAGCCTTTCCGAAACCAAAGAAGCTCTACTGGAAGCCCAGAGCGGCTAGCGATAGTAGCAATATCGAGATGGGACGGACTTCAGGCGACTTAAGGTGGCAAGAACAGCAAGCGACGCTGCAGTCACGACAGTCACAGATGCTGAAGTTTCTAAGGAATCACAGGTACGGACTCGGTCCTTGGCCCTGATGTCCTGATTATACCACCCGAAGCACAGGCCGAAGTGGATCTTGTACTCCTAAATAGAAACCCCCAACAATACTGAACCTTATAAATCTGAACAGGAAAAAACATCAACAACTTACGAGACCTGCCCACCGGACACTGCCCCACACGGCGCAGACTCGAAACTTAAAGCCGTGAGCCCAGAACCATGCCGGGCCTTGAAAATTACCCTGCAAGAAACCATGATTCCGGAAGCAAAGCGCGGTCACCAAATAGGGCCTAGGCCCTTGCACACCCTGAGGCCGTGAAGCCTACACCCCAAGTTCAAGTAATATTGGGGCCTTATGTACTAATTAGAATAGGGTTTTGGGGCCCATTTTACTCTAATAACACATAGTAACAAAGAACCACCAAAATAGTATTGGACTTTACTTAGGCCCCTATAGAGAGTTGGAGCGATGGTCTCCTGAAAAACCAAAACTTTCAACAGCAAAGGGGGCACACAACCTCCTTGGTGTCTGTTCCAACTATGCCAAAAGCCCATTATAAACCAGGAACCAGGTCTAAACCCTAAGCCCTAAGCCGGCAACCAAGTCTTAGCTAGAGTCTAAACCTTTCCCAGTTGGCCGGGTCATCCCCTACCACTCATTCTGGGTACTCTTTTTGTCATGCGCAGCAAAAGCACGTAATGACAAGGGTAGGTTACGACCCTCTCTCCTACGATTACCACGTCAATCTTTCCCCCTCAAAAAAAAAACAAAAAGCACGAGATCCGAGCGGTTGTGGCGCCGTGCGGGCAGCGGAAGAGCTCTGGCTGTTGGCCCAACCTTCTGGCGTAAAGGGGCTTCTACCGAGGTAGCCCTGAGCCGGTAGAGGAGGGTTTAGGGTTTACAAGATTTCTGTGGGGGAAGGGGCTGTTTAGGACTGGTCCAGCCTTCTGGCTGTAGGACTAGGCGGATCTAGCTTAGAATAGGGTTCGATGAGGTTAGAAAACATTTTACCAAAAAGGATTACATCAAATAAATGGGATCTACTTATTGGGACCGGTTATTGTAGAATAAACTGACACCGTATTTACTATAGATCCCTCTTCTGGCAACTTAAGCTTTTATTGTAATTCCTGAACAAGAACCCAAACTATGGTTTTTTAGAGGATTAAATTCAATAATGGGATCTACTTATTGGAACCCCGGCTATTGCGCAGTACATTGACATAGTATTTACTATAGATCCGTCTTCTGCTAACTTGAGCATATAGTGCAATTTCTGAACAAGACCCCAGTATATGGAGACTCGGAGGGGCTGGTATGACCTGTTGCTCGGACAGCGACAAAGGGACTGCACGGCTTCGGAACTAAGGGATTTCCGCTTGTCGGCGTCAAGAAGCAGGCCCTGCTGGAGTTTGCAGATTAAATTCAGGGTTGGGTTTAGGGGGTAGGGTTTAGGGGGGGCTCGGTTTTGAGAGGGTGATGGCCGGGGGTTTGGAATCGAGGCGCTGGGGGCCGTGGAATGCAACTTTATGGGGTTATTGAGTGGTGTGTTGGGGCCCAGGTTGGAGGCTACAAGCATGGCATCCAGTAGGGGCCGCTGAAGCACGACGTCTGGAACAAGATTGTCGTCTTTATGGGCTGCTATTTGTAGGGTCTTTGGCGATGAGACTATATCCTAAACCCTAGTATCCATAAAATTTAAAGTAAAACCCACCCTATCCCAAGTCGCATCAAGACCTTGTACACAATACTAACGCTCTGCGGGATCAACTCACTCGATATTCCACCCTACATCAAAACTAGCCATGTCCAAAAAGTCACTCGATGTCACTCGTTTCATCTTATAAAACCCGGCAGCCTTCCAAACGAGCCCAATCAGCAATGTTTGTTCAGCCCTTGCAGTGCCCGTTTTTGGCTGGTAGGAGCCCGGGCCCGGAGGTGGTGGAACGCAACAGCAGCTGTGCCAAAGCCTCGGTGATGTCTTCGGCTCTCGAGGGCTCAGGGTTTACGGCGTGTCGAGCTTTTAGGGTTTAGGGGTTTACGGTTTAGGGCACTTTAAACTCCAAAAGCCTAAACCCGACAAGTCCCAAGCAACAGGCAGATTCGCTGTGTGTCTGCATAGACGCCGGGCAATGCTTCACCAGGTTTAACTTGCAGAGTTTAGGGCGTTGTTTCGACTAGTGTGTATGGGCTCAGGGACGAACATCTCAAGCACCGAATCCGACACCAACCCCGAATGTGGACTCAGTCTTTAGCGTGACAGACCCCTTCGACAATTTACGCTAGAATTCTTTACAAGCCAAGTTAAAAGCAAAGAGGCCCAGTTACCTAGATGGGGGAATACTATCTTTTGATCCCTATCGCCTATATGGCTATAGGTGTAGAGACCCAGAATATGTGTGTGACTGCGCGCCCAGGGAAATGCAAGCTCAACATCTTCAAACGTAAACCCGAGACAGGATCTGAACACAAAACCCTGAACCCGAATTAAGCTCTACAGCCCCCAGACTCTAAACTAGACCCTTAATTAACCCCGAACGCCTCAGCTCCCGGCGGACTTTCCCGACTGCGGCGCACCGAGCACCCGGACGCCAAGGTCAACATCTGTGTAAGCCTATTTCATAGGAGTTTTGAAACGTCTTGAGGAGGGTTCATTAAAGCCTTTTGCGGTTCTGTCGGTTTGAGGTGGAGGGTTGCGTGGAAAGGTGCAGGCTGAGGCAATGGGACTTGAACAGTTTGAGGATTTAGGTGTGTAGGGGGAAGGTGGAGTACCACCTCACGCCCCTAACCATAAACGGGGGTTATGAATCAGGAGTCCACATTAACCTTCTTGCCAAAGCCGCCACAGGTCAGGTCGGTCCGGATCAGTTTAAGCCCAAAACCTCGAACCCCATATTCAGCAACCAAACCCCGAGACAGAAACTCCCAGTTCTTTCTGGATCTTGGGGAGTGGGTCGGACCCCTACTTGGAGGATCATGGGACTTAGTGTAAGTATGGTTATAAGTACCTTAGTTTGGGGTTATAAGTAGTTATGGGTCGGGTTTCTGTTGTGGTGTTCGTGTTTGGTATTGCTGCTGGTGTTTGGATAGCAATGCTCATGCTACCCGCAGCATCAGAGCTGCCATTATCAGTTCTTATACGGCTCTATTACTCATTGATACGGTTGACAATAAATACTGCAATACCTTATTATGGGCCCTAAACTATGGGAATTATGGGTATGTTGATATTCGTTTTTGCATGCTTCTTGCCTGCCAGTCACAGCAATGTCACAGCACCAGTGCTATGCATACTGGTTATACTGGTCTAGGTTTTCAGGGCGTTACGAATCGGACGACCCAACCTGTAGCCATGAGGACAAGACAGAATGTCGGCACTACCTGCTCGTCTCTAGCAAGATCTGGGACGACAAAGATGTGTTGGACAACGATGCATTGGCTTAGGTGGCCTAACCCAACCTGTTGCTGCTCTGTGCCGAAGCACTCACCTCAGACCCAGAAAAGTTCGAAGTCGTCACGTGCTCTCCCCTCCCCCCCCTCCTGATGCCGGATGAACTGGCAGATGGACTCCGTCTCCTCGAGAAAACAGCTTATAGCGGTCAAGAGCCATGCACGGTCTCATGATCCACTCGCGAACTGCGAAAGCATCCGGTGATGCTCTGACAACCCGACGAGCTACCACTACTGCTGCTGCTGCTGCTGCTCCTTATGCGTCTCCTACCACCACCGCCGGTGCCCCTGGCACTGGCACTGCCGCTGCTACTGCTTCTGGACCACTGCTACTGCCTCTGCTTTACTGCTATACTGTTGTTGCTGCTGAAACTGTTTTTGCTTCTGCTACTGCTACTACTGCTCCTGCTGCTGCTGCTGCCGCTCCTGCTGCTACTACTGCTACTACTGCTACGGCAACGACTACTGATACTGCTACTGCTACTGCTGCTTCCTACTACGACGATTACTACTGCTGCGACGAGGAGGAGGACGATGAGGAGGGACTATAACTACGATTACATGTAGGAAGGCCAGCGCTACTCTATATCGTCCTCCTGCTATCGCCGCTCCGGCTGGTGCTGCTGCGATGGCTATAGATACCGTTACCACTAACAGTCACTAACCATCGCAGTCGATACATTGTCAGCAAATCAGATAAGGTGCATGTATGCCATTAAGTTGGAGCTGGTACTGAAAGCGTAGCAGCAGTCATGCTATAGTGTAGGTCATGGAAGATCCACGGATCCCAAGCAGAACCTGCACCAGTGTGCATTTATGTAACCATTTTGGACTTCAGAATGCAAGCATCTCCGCAAATTTGAACCTCAAACATCATGCAACTCAGCAAATCACTGTGAGACGATTTGTACGTTTATTGAAATCTCAGCCAAGTTCGAACAGATATGCACATGATACAGTACATGCAAAATCCCTACATCCCAACCCAAAAAGCGCAATACCCCTTATATAATTAAGGAATATAGCTTAAATCATAATATGAAGCCCTATATAGTTTTTACCATATTCCTTAATTAAGGGGTATTGGGCTCTCTGGGAACCAGCCACAGACTCCTCTGTCGGCACGAAGATGCTGGATCCTTGCGGCTCCTCGCACAAAGGCTTGTGCGCCCGGGGTGGGTACTTCGGGGTTTTGAGGCTTTGGGTCGTCTTACTGGGGCTTTCAGGCTTTAAACTTTGACGTACGAATAGTAAGAGACAATGGCGGACTTCTTCGCGCAAAATGAAGCGACCAAATACTATTCCAGAATGTGCTATACCAACCTATACTATTCTATACGGTTCTATGCCCTTCTAAGAAACCCTAAACCTGACCTGCAATCTACTTAGTAAAACATATAAATGCACATAGGTCCTCGGTGTCCACCATCAGCTCGGACACAAGCTTCACCTTCGTCTCGCAGATAAGATCCGGCACACCTGCGGCCGGTTTAGGGCCCAGACCTTCCAAAATCCCTTAATTAAGGAATATACCTTAAATCATAGTAGGATCCCTAATATGATTTAAGGTATATTCCTTAATTAAGGGATTTTGGAAGGTCTGGGGGTTTCGGGCTCAGGCTCACCTGCATCCCGCCAAGGACGACCGAAAAGGCTCACAAGGCTCGGGAGACGAGTTCGACAAGGCAAGAAGTGCTCTAAAGCTCGATGTACCTATGTAGTGTATACTGAGTCCTTAAGCAGTTGAAATAAGCTTTAGGCCTGAATTAATGCTTCGGGTTCTGGGTTGAATTAAAATTGGGACTCGTTCGAAGACGAGGGGTTCAGGGCCCGCAGACGTCAACACCCTTTATACAAACTCTCTGGGACTTTGACGCTCATAGAATTCTTCTAACGATTCTGGCGCCCGTGAGACCTTGACAAGCCCCTATAGAATCCATCCAGAACCTTCATGCTGAAAGAACCCCTGCAGGGCACTCAACAAATCTATACAGCCTCTGATAATGTAGAGGCCTGACCAATTCGTAGTCAGATCCCCATAGAAGCCCCGGATAATTCCGAAATTGCACTACAACGCACCCCTAAGCCCTGTTCTAAACACTTCAAGGAACCTATAGTCCACCTTATAGGACCTTATAAGTTCGTGTGAAAACTGTAGAAGAACCAACAACACCCGTTTCTACTCTCATCACTCATCATTACCTATAAGACCCCGTCAAAATCTCCAAAACCTCAAAAAAACCCAAAACCCAACCTAAACCCAAAGCCCCGTGAACCATCAGCGGCCTGAGGTGGCGGCAACGTTGCTGAGGATGCGCAGCTTCCACAAGTTCTCGGGATCTTGGGCCTCCATCGCTTTGAGGTCCCAGTGTGGGTTCCTTTACCCTTAGGCTCTAAGAACTTATATCTTAAGGCTTTTGGGCCAAAGGACCATACTATATAAGGCTTTGGGGCTGTTTTGAGCCTTAGGGTTAGGGTACTGTAAGGGGTGTAGGGCTTAGGGTTCGGCCTCTGTAAAGGTTCTATGAAGGTTCCTTCATTTGGAGGTGCAAGGGATGTATCAGGATTCCTCTCGGGCTCCTCTACCGGTTCTTGTAAGGGTGCTTGTAGAAGGGTTCCTGAAAGGGTTCGTACGAGGGCTCTGCAACGGTTATTTGAAGGGGTTGAAGAAGAGGGTACCTACGGGGCTCGATAAGTCTATAAGTTACATGTGTTTGACATTTCAGGTCTATAGTTTCGGCCCAAGTGTTCGTAGACAGGACCGAAAACCCTGAATCTAGTCTACCCGGTTCAGGATATAGGTTGCAGTGGTTTTGGGTTCTGGAGTTTAGGGTTTAGGGGTTTAGCATTTCATAGGCTGCTTCGGTTTAAGGTGTTGGGGGTTTGGGATTCAACTTTCGGGTAGTTCTCAGGTTCAGGTGTCCTTTCAGGTCGTTCTGGTCGTTCTGAAGGAGGATTTGCACGGGACTCTATAAGCTTTGCCATGACGTGCGATGCAACGAGTTCGACTAGCCTTCTAGCAGCTATGAACATGTAAGATGTGCAGGCTTTAGGGGGTTTAGGGTGCAGATGTCGTTTGACGGAGGGGCTTTGAGCATTGAGAACTAGGATTTGAGATTGAAGGGTTTAGGACTAGGATTCAGGTGCTTGTGAGCTGCAGATTCATGTTTCCGGGTTCGGATTCAGGCACGCGCCTCAAAGTTCAGAACTTTCCGTTTAAAGCGTCCTAGGCCTAGGATGTCCGAAGTTTCTGCATTGTACAACAACAACATTGGGCTGCCACACTTTCTGGGAACTGCCATGCTGGGGGCAAGTATCGCCACACGGGTGCCTAAGGCCATTTGGGCTTCAGAACTAAGGGCAGCTGTAACCCAGCTCACCACGATCGCAGCAGAGGGAAGCAGGGGCAAACCTGAAAAGGCAGAAACGAAGCCCGAAACCCTGAATCTCAAATCTTATAAACCCTGAACCCTAAACCCAAAACCCTTATAAACCCTGAACCCTAAACCCAAAACCCTACACCCTTATAAACCCTGAACCCTAAACCCTTATAAACCCTGAACCCTAAACCCTAAACCCTTATAAACCCTGAGCCCTAAACCCTTATAAACCCTGAACCCTAAACCCTAAACCCTTATAAACCCTAAACCCTAAACCCTTATAAACCCTGAACCCTAGACCCTAAACCCAAAACCCTTATAAACCCTGAACCCTAAACCCTAAACCCTTATAAACCCTGAACCCTAAACCCTAAACCCTTATAAACCCTTATAAACCCTAAACCCTTATAAACCCTGAACCCTAAACCCTAAACCCTTATAAACCCTGAACCCTAAACCCTTATAAACCCAAAACCCTAAACCCTAAACCCTTATAAACCCTGAACCCTAAACCCTTATAAACCCTGAACCCTAAACCCTTATAAACCCTGAACCCTAAACCCTAGCCCAGAAGCCCTCGCCCTGAAGATGGTCTCTGGGCCCACAAGCCGGAAGCTGCGTGTTGGAGGAGGGTCCGGGCTCCCCAAGGCTTATGGTGTCGGCTTTTTGGGCTTCAGGGTTTGCTATGAAAGGCCGGTGCTACTTGAAACCCTTAATATAAACTCCTGCCTGCAAAAACCACACCACAAACCTAAACTCCCTAATCCGAAACACTGCTTAATCGAAACACTCAGATCCGTACGAGTGTTCCCAGGGCCGCAAGTCCATAAGGCAGCCCATCTTTGCCTTGTCTGTCTGTTGTGTCTGTGTGTGTGTGTGTGTAGGCGCGTGTGTTTTTGTTGTGTCTCGGGTGTGGGTAGTGTCGGTAGGATGCTTGGATGTTAGGATCCAGGGTCTTGGCTTGAGCTTTCAGGATACACAAAAGTGGGAAGTACAAGTGTTCTACGGTTCTGCAGATCTCTCGGGACTCATTGACGGCTACTTAGGTGTTGATTCTCATGGATGGTTCCTGGAGGTTCAAAGTGTTTTTGATGTTTTGACGTTCTAGGGTTGGGATCGCTAAGGGCTTTTTAAACGAGGGTCCAAATGATTGAGGATTGAGTCCTTCGGCTTTCCTGGACCCGGAGCCACAGTTTCTTCGAGCAAAACAACCATGAAGGTCCTGCACAAGCCACCACAAAACGACATGAACTCTACGTTTACATCCTTACAGACAGAAACTTCTTGCAATTGCAATCCAGTCAAAGCATCACAAGTCCAGAGCTGTGAAAGGCGAACACTAACTAGGAGCCATTATGCAAGCGGAGACCGAAAACAGGGAAACACAGTTCATGCCTGGGACCAATAAGCAAAGTTCACGTCCCTGTGGTGGGAGCAAAACTCTTGAATTGGGGGAACCCTGACACAAGAGCCGCGCTAGTGAGATAATTTTCGGACGGTGCCGAGAAACGGCTTATCGTGATGCTCTGCATGTGTGTCTGTGTTTGTGAGTGCGCGTGCGCGCGTGTTCATATGTGGGTTTGCGATGGCTGTGAGAACGATTCTTGGGGAAGGAAACACGAGCCGCAGCCGAATATGTGGTGAACTACGACACTGTGGTGGGAGCACGACTTCTGATTTCCCAATGCTGAAGCCCCGTAGAACAGTGGGATGTCGAGACCATGCAACCCTTACTAGGAGCCCTTCTAGTGTGGCCCGTCTGGAGGGAGCGAGACTCATCAAGGTGGACGGCGCGAAAAGAATGGTGCTTTTCTTTGAAATTGACAATACACTCGGTGCCCTCAGCGGAAGGGGCCCGAGTCTTGTGGAAAGAATGCGATTTTGACCGAAACGGTGCGCAACGACACGGAATCGCTTGACTTACGCTGCAGGTCATGGGGGAGAGAAGACGAACCTCCCAAGACCGCCCACCTGACATCGTGGCCAGCAGCCAGGCACCCAACCTGATCACAGAGATGCAGCAAAGGGGGGGGTAGGACTTGCAGTGCGGTATTTGGGATATGGTTACGATCGCTAGGGCCTTTCGCACTGAAAATCAAGACGCTGGATAAAGACTCGCTCCAAGCCTGAACCTTCGACCTTTGGACCCTCTAGAACCCGAAACCTAGGCTTCGAATGTTGTTGAAGCGAATGTTGTTCGGGATTCTTGTTCAATATTCTTGGCTTGGGAACGGCAAAGACGCAAGGATGTATAGAATGTATAGGGCTTTCCGTTTCGGGTGCTGGGAAACTGCCTGGGAAGCCACCATGAGAACATGCCTGCCTCTACGCACGGTGATCAGAATGTGTGGCTCTTAGGGTGAAGGTTGTAGGTTTGGACCACTTGAAGGGCATTGAGTCACCAACCAAATCTCCGATTTATGCCCCTCTCCAGGACCAATCGGTGGCCGGGCGCCACAAACTGTCATGCCCTCAAATCTTCTCGGGCTATGGGCTATGGGTTCCTAGCTTAACAAGACAATGGGGTCAGGGCTCATGCTCTTCTACAAAGTATGGTTTGATCCTCTGCAAAATAGCTAGAAAGGATCCGTTTACGGCAATGTAAAAACGACATGACATTACAAACTGAACCCGCAACCCTTCGAACGTGCTATAGAGCCCCTATGGGGCCCTTATAAAGCCGCTTTAGAGAACAGTTTGAAACGACCTTCAGAGGACTCTTCGGAAATGTCCTGGGATTCGAGCCTCTTTCGCTCATGGCTCGGCAGATGACCGCCCAATGCCCATGCCTTGCAACGGTTCTTGGTAACAACACCTTCTGGTAGAGGGCTCAAGAGCTGCAGCACCAGCAGAATCCCGAGGTTTCGAAAAGGGCAATTCCTTATAGCTGGGTTTTAGGACTTACGTTGGGTTGGAGGTTTAGGGTCTATGGCGGAGTTGAGTGGAGTGGATGGAGGGGAGGGGGGGAGGGGTGAAGGTACCATAGTTACATCTGCAAGAGCCGCAGCAGAACTTCGGCCCATCTCGAGTAATTCAGATGAAGGAAACAACAGTTTAAGGAAATAACCCAATCATGCCTTGCAATCATCGCATGAGCCAGCACTGAGGTTGAGCTTGGGGACCTCCTTTATCTCTCTCGACTTCCTTTTCTCAAATTCCTCAAGCGCCCTTTGGTCGCTCTCATTCAACAGCAATTTTTCTTCTGGCAATTTCATTTCTTTTCTCTTGCTCTTTAGCTCATTGAGGGCCTCCGAGAGCTTTGGACGAAGACTGTCCATCTCCACCATTATTGCCATTTCCTCATCCATGATGAGGGTGGCAACGAAGTAGGTACGCCGTTCCGCACCGTGAAAATTCAAGTGGCTTCAGGATGCAAGTGGCTGTAACTATGGTTCTAGCTCGAGGGGACTGGATCGAAAACTGTTTTTTTATCAGAAACCTTGCCGTTTCATGACATCAAGCACGTACCACAAGTGATAGTAAATATACCCCAGAACCCGGCTCCTCTACTACACGATTTTTGGAGAGCGGATGCGAGAGCAGGCCGAGAACAACAGTGAGGGTTCTGCTGGCAGGGCTTCTTCCCACAACATTTGCAGTGAAGCCCATGTCCGCATAGCACTTTTTACCGTCTCTTAGAACACTAACGAGTGCAAGTTCTATATGTGATAATACCTACTTTGAGCTATTTGGGGTGACACATTCCAGCGGAGAGAAGCGGTGCCCTGGAATGGCAACCTCTCCTACCCTAAACCCTAAACCCTAAACCCTAAACCCTAAACCCTAAACTCCTCCATCCCGCACCGTTTCAAGCCTTCTGGGGCCCCTGGGGCCGAGGATCCTTATTTAAGGGGCCTTAGAATTTAGAATAGGGTTTCATAGGGTTCCTTTAAAGGGGTCCATAAGAGATAGTAGGGCTCTATGGTATCGGGGCCTGAAATAGTTATAATGTTATAATAGGGGTTTTGGGGTCCATATTATACTGTAGAATTCTAGTAAGGAACCCCAAGATAGTCTAGTTAACTATAAAGGCCCCTATATTGCCCTAGATAAGATGAGGGTCTGGGCTGTAGTCTTACACCCAAACCAGAAGGGTCCATGAACATAAAAGCTATACGGTTTGGGGCTTTAGGGCTTAGGGTTTATAGGGTCATACACTTTAACCCTAAATATGCACCCAAAGCCCAAACTCCAGCTAGAACGTGCAACTCCCAAACTCAATCCTGACAGCTTGAAGACTTAGGCTTTGTAGTCTGACCAGTTTGACACATATATGCAGCTCAGTTGCAGCCGTCCAGATCGTCCACACCTGGCTTTAGCGGCCGCGTGGTTAGGGGGGCTTACGTCTTGGGGTAAACCAGTTCAGGCAAACATGTCTCGAACAAAGGCTATGCCGACGACACAGGCTCGAATTTGTAGGATTTTACTAACTCACTGCCACTCAAATTGCGAACTGCTTGCTGCTAAAGCTGCAGCCTTAAACATGTCTTGATTGGGACTTCCAATACGGTCACTTGTAGGATGCCCGAAACCCGAAACCCTCAAGCCCCTCGAAATCCTAATGGTTCAGGATGTTGCGCTTCCGTAAACCGACACGCTATAACCCTGAATCCTTGAACCACCACCCAAGACTCAAGCCCACCAGGACCCCAAACATTTAAACCGCAAGCCCTGTCGCAAACCCTATCTCGCATTTCGCAAACCCAAAATCCTACTCCGAACCCTATTCCCCATTTCGACAGTTGGTAGCCCCAAGCCCTAGAGAGCCAGCCACACACTACGCCTGTTTCTAGGGTGTATAGTTTTATGGTTACGATTTGATAAAAAAACAAATGCCCTAGAGAAAAGGTGTAGGGTGGATCCTCTAACTAGGTCCTTGAGACGCAGACCCTGAACCCGTGGACCTTGTAATGTAGGAACCTGATTAAGAAACCCTGGGCGGCCTATAACCCCGAAATAGTGGAACTTATACAAGGAGCCATAACAAATACCCAAAGTTTCTGAATCAGGTTTCTACATTACCCGACATTCAATTTCCTAAATCTGCTTCCACGGAGACCACCACCAGGAACGGCTTTGCCTCGAGCAGCGTGGCAACCTCCGAGGCGACCTCCTCCTGGAAGGGTTTAGGGTTTTTAGGGTTTGTACGGCGTTTAAGGTTTTTAGTGTTTTTAGGGCTTTTAGGGTTTTTAGGGTTTAGGGATTTTAGGGTTTAGGATTTAGGATTTAGAAGGACTTAAGGTTTAGGAAGCCTCAAAACAGAAGGGCAAACGGTAAAAGGGCTACTCAGGAGCCTAGAAAAAGCAGGGAAAGGGGTTTTGGGGTGTAGGGCTTGTTGGGTTTAGGATTTAGGGGTGTAGGCTTAGGGTTCGGGGTTTATGGGTCTTGGGTTTTAGGGTTCGTGAGTGAGTTTCGGGGCGCTTGATTCCTCGTTGGGCTGTATATTTGTTTAATCGCCACAGGGGACCTGTTGAAGTTTAATATAAACTGCTATACAGCTTTGTGGTATAGGCTTCATTCGAAGTGTTTAGATTGTGTAAGAGGGGTCGGAGTTGGGAGTTTCCGAAAATTGGGGGGGGGGGTACCTTATTTGGGGCTCCTTAGAAGAAGGATCCTACTATTTAGGGTACTATACTAGGGTCCCCTATTTTCGGAAACTCCCACATGGCCTTCAACAAATATCCTAAACCATAAACTGAGACTCGAGGTGCTTGCCAGGGGTAGGAGTTTGGGCCAAGGCGTTTAGGGTTTAGACGTTGAGCGGTTGAAGGCTCGAGGGCTTGAGGTTCAGGGCTCTACCTAGAGGCCCATACCCTACCCCTTTTTTAGGATACCTAGTTTTATGGTCAGGACTTGTTATCTCAAAAAATCGGCGCCCTAAACAAGGGGTAGGGTCTGAGGTTCAGGGGCTCTAACCTCGAAGCCTACAGGCGCCTGAGCAAGTGGAACAGGGTTTCGGTTTAGGGTTTAGGGTTTGTAGGGGTTTAGGGTTTACAGGGGTTTAGGGTTTATAAGGGTTTATAGGGGTTTAGGAGTTTAGGGTTTCGGGGTATATTCTAGTAGAAAGACAAAGCTAAACCCTGAGGAATACAGTGGCAATTATTCAGGTGCTCAACAACACTCAGCTTCTGACAGGCGTAGCCTTCTTTTGCACTTGCGTAAGCGCGTGTCCCAGTACAGAAAGAGCCACGGGTTTTCCGTTGGCGGGGGTCGGGCGGGTGGGTTGCTTGAGCGGAAGCACGTTAAAGTTTCGCACCTATCGCTTCAGGTGCTCAACAACACTCAGCTTCTGACAGGCGTAGCCTTCTTTTGCACTTGCGTAAGCGCGTGTCCCAGTACAGAAAGAGCCACGGGTTTTCCTGCCTCCGAACTTCCCTTCCACAACTCCGCCAAGCTAGCCAACGGAAAAACGAGCATACCAGCACGTAGTCGGTGTATGCAAAAGCTGGAGCTGCAGGGCCACCTGCAGAACTTCAGCGAAACTGTCCAGAAGCGAAAGAATCAGCTGCCTCGAAGGCACGGACAGCTTGTTCAGAAACTGGAGTGACGATATCTCCTGGATGTATATCTCCATTGTCCGGCTGTTCAACCAGCGTCCTCGGCGACGTACCAGCTCAGAGTCCTCTGAAGACTGTAGTAGCCACGTCGCGCCGCCGGCGCGCAAAGACCCAAGGTCAAGAGACTTCGAGCCTTGGCCCGCCCACTTATCGGCACCAAGCCGTCGAACCAAAGTGCCAAAACGACTCCGCAAAGTAGAGGCACTGTAGGGCCAAAGCTTGCTGGGTCCAGGAAGGTGCTCGAAAGCCAGCTTCACCACAGACAAAAGGTCAGGCTGATCTATTCGTGCCGATTGATGCCTCGCAGCCCTGAACCTGGTCTTTGGTTCGTGAATGGAGACCAAGCCATAGGACATTGTGTCGCCAACATCAGAAGGCAGAAGTAGATCATCACGCCTAGCAGCGAGAGTCTCGCCGACCCTCATCAGAGCTCCCCAAGTCAGCGCCAGCATACCCGCGACGCGTGGCCAGCCCCACATCATCGCAGTCGTTATCAAAGCAATGAGAAGTTGCCAAGGAAGAGCAACGTGGTGGGAGTGGGGTTCCTCTCGAAGCCAAGCAAAAGCAAGGTCCCACGCCGGTTGCAAACTTCGTCTCAAAGCAGGCTCCTTACCAGAAATAGCATTGATAACTTCAGAATAGTGAGAATAAGGCCATCCGGCCTCGAAAAGCTCGCGACCATAGCGTACCAGAAAGTTGTTCAGTCGGCGGGTAGTTTGAGGCTGCAGGTCGAAAAGATCGGACAACACAACCTCCTGGGCCCAAAGCCAGTCCTTAAAAGCTTCCAGTAACTTGTCACGCCTTCGCTGAGTTACAGGCTCAACGGGCCGGCCTTCACAGAGGACTGTAGCTGCTCTTGCGCGAGAGCGCTTCTCGTCAGCTGGGTTGCGAGGGCGCAGGCCATGGCTGGGAGCAGCTACGGCAGAAACCCAAAACCAGCAAAAGAAAACCCTGAAGAAAGGCCCCTCCCCAGGAAAGCCCAAGGTTGAGTCGAAGATCCGCGAGGACCGAGAGAAGGTTCGCCAACCCAAATCAGGGCTGAAAGAAGGCGGAACCTGAAGAACCAGACAAGCAAGTCTAGCCCAGTTCGAAGCCCAACGCTTCAGCTTCGGCTGCGAAAGCCCTTCGTAGAGCTGGTCACGGGAAAGAGAAGTCCAGAAGGAGCAGTCGAGAGGGCTCGGCAGGGGAAGATCCCGAGTAGGGCAATCTCCAGGATTAAGACGAGTGGGCACGAAGTGATATGCTGGGAACAGCCCAGCGCCCAGACAAAGGGCAGCAATCTTGCGAAGGATGGGCATAAGCCCGCGAGACGGGCTGCGGCCTTTAGCACACGCGTGAAGAGCGACGGAAGAATCAACCAACACAACGATCCTCAAGGGGCCATGGGAAGCAAGCCGCTTGAGCAAGCGCAGGACGGAGGCAGATTCAAGGATGTTGATATGGGCTGTGGCCCGCCAATACCAAGCATCGCCATCACGCCAGACATGAGACGTCACGATATCATTGAGCACATAGCTCTCAAGTCCTTCAACAGAGAGGCTCGTAGAGCTTGTGACGTGGGACACCCGACGAAGCGCAGAGGCAAACTCGTGGCACAGAGAGTCGGAAAACGAACTTGAAAGAAGATGTGGTATGGCCCCACTCGAACCGCCGCGCTGTGAAGCAGTCCGAGAAGCTGCACAAGGGCCGACCAAAGACTGAAAATCAATGCCAAAAGCAAGAAGGACAAACCCCTTGCAGCAAACGCCCTCAGCAAAGCAAGAGCAGACCTCAAACTCCCGGGCTCCGAAATTCAGGAGCCTCTTCCATTCAGGGAACCACCGGAAAGGAGAGTAAGCCGGATGGATCAAAGCCCCAAAAGCGCCGCACTCGACCGCTACGAAAAGCAGCGACAAGAAACGCAAAGCCAGCGCGTTTGCAGCTTGAGTCCTCGGTTGGGCTGGCCAGCGACCTTTGGGGGCAGCAACAGTCCGCCAAGAGGGCCAGGAGCCGACGCGAAAAGTGGCAACAGGAGGCCAGCACAAAAAGCCCTTAAGCTTCCTCTGCTGAAGCAAGTGAAGAAGCCACTCAAAAGTCCGAAGCTGCATGACGTCATAAGCGGCACTCTCCTTGACGGAAATTCGAGGACCAACCCGAAATCCACGATGCGCCAAGAGACCGGAAACCTGACCAGCCGAACAGCCTATCTCAACAAAGTCAAAGTAATAGGCTAAAGGCCGCGAAGGCGCAGGGGCAAAGTCGTCACGAAGAAGGCGAAGGTCAAAAGTCTCCCGGTCGTGGAACCTAGCAAGGATAGATTCCTCTTTCGACCAAAGCCGGCTGTAGCCCCCTTTCTTAGAAGCAGTGCGCCAAAGAGGCCGCGACACATCGGCACCAACCTCGGTCACAACATAACCGCCCTTGTGCTCAGAAGCATCAGTCGCGAAAATCATCGGACTGAGAGGAGCCGAAATCTCAGAAGCCGCAAGAGGTGAGAGCACACTCATAACCACAAGCTCCTGAGCCGCTGATCTCGAGAGCCGGCAAAGCTTTGGCTTGGAGGCACAAACCGTCCCCGCACTGGCGACGCCAAACACATCAGAGAGGACCGACATCAAGGGCCGCCGAAACAAAGCAGCGGAAGTCCAGCTGCCAACCACTGACAACATGAGAACATCAGTGATATGCTGAAACCTCGCAGCCTCGAGCGAAACAATCGAAAGAGCAATCCTCTTTGAAGCTGGAGCAGCAATGGTAATCAGGTCCTGGGCTCGAGCACTGGCAGAAGAATTCAGCTCGCCTCCAGCAATTTTGGCACAAGTAAGCCCCAAAATATCCTTATCATCGGAACCGGCCAAACCTTCAGAGGCATACAAGGCCTTGGCAGCGGCAAGATGACCCAGGCATGCGGGGGCAGCGGGGGAATGGACATCATGAACACTAACCGAAAAGTAATCATCGATGACCAAACCCTGGGCCTCATCGCAACCTTTGAAGGGTCGATTTGCACAAAGCCGCGAGGACTGATCAAGCAAACCGCCGGATTCAAGCAACAGCCCGTGGGCGGCGGTGCCGATTTCAACCCCCAGCTGGTCGCCTTGCGCGATGGCGCCAAAGCACACCAAGTAATGATCAGCATCGAAAAGAAGCGGGTCAAGTTCATCACCAGGAGGTTCCTCAGAGAAGCAATCTGCTCGGGCCCATCTGCCAAAAGGACAGGGTGGAAGCAAGGAGGAGAAGGCACCAAGATGACAGACGGCCGATCTAGGAAGGGCCGGGCCAAGGGCGTTTGCAACGGCGCGGGACGAGTGAGCCCGAATCTGATGGTAAAAATCTTTCCTGTCCGTAGCGGCGCAGCAGACGGTTTGGCGCTTAGGGTTTGCCTCCAGCATACACAGCATGGGCGCGACAGGAATGAACAAACTTGGGCCAGCGAGCCTGCATTCGGCAAAGTTTTGGCCTCGACGATCAATGATCATCCTGTCCCGGTCCGGGGCTTTGTAGCAGTTGAAAGCCCTCGAGAGCAAGTAAGCATCCGAGGAGCGAAGTCGAGAAGGAGCCAGACGGAGCAAGCCCATCTCGTCCCACAACTCGGCCAGAGCCGCAACCTGAGCTGGGTCTTCACGCGTCCACACAGGAAGAAAGGAGTCAGGAGGAGGAAGCCCATGCAACAAAGAACGCGGCTCAAGGTAAGCCATGTAGAGCTCATCTTGCAGGAAAGGCCCTGGGTCCCAGTGCCCTTTCCCCGAAAGCCGAAGCCTCGGCACAGTCAATGAACGGAAGGGATCAAGGCCCGGATGGGCGTCGTTGTGCGTGGGGATCACAGTGCCTGATAAATCAGCATAAGCATCTCCCGAAACAGCCTGAGCTGAAAGAAAAGACGTTAACTCCGACAAACGTGCAAGTAATTGGGGATTGCGGCGGCCAGAGTCGGCGAGAACAAACTCACCCACCGAGGCACCGAACGCCTTCAAATGCCGACCCACATGCGCGACAAGTCTTCGCTGTGCTGCATTCGCGGGCCGTTGCAGAGCAGAAAGAGGGATTGGCACATAGTTGGAGTGCAGGAAGTTCAAAGCCATGCACACAATGTGCAGCAAACGCCTGTGCATGATGCGCTTGCGAAAGCGGCTCCCGCTCTGCAAAGGGAAGCTCTGGAAGAGCCCAGGAAAAGGCAAAGGGATCGGGAACACCGAACCAGAAGGCGGCGCAGGCTTGGAGAGCCTGGGCAAGTGCAAAGTAGATAGAAGGAACGCGGCAAAGTCCGTCCGCGTCCGAAGAATGGATCGAAGCAGGCCCGAGACCCAACACCGGCGTCCTCGTCGGGTGGGGGCGGTGCCGTATGCTTGGGGGTGCCGAGAGACTCCAGCCTTCGCGTGGTGATCAAGTCCACCTCCTTCAGGAACTGAAGAGCACATGTGGTCCAGGCCACCGGTGACAAAGGAGAGAACGCTCGGGTCCTCGGATTGGCCGTGACACCCCTGCTGTGAAAAAGCTGGGCTGGCGGCTCCTCCAAAAGAGTCAGGAGCCAGGCAAAATCCCACCGGCCGCGGTCTAGCACACTTTGGTCCAAAGCCACGCAACAAAGTGCCAAATGCTCCTGAGCCCCGGCAACATCCTGATTTATCAAGCAATCCATCACGTGTCCTAAGCACCACATTAGGTACCCGGACTCCCGGTGCCCAGAGAAACCGCCGAACCTCTCCAGGTAATTGCACATCGAGACCTGCCCCGAGCAATCGTCGAGAGATGCTGGGACCGGAGATGCCGGATGAAGTCGTTTCGACATTGCCTGCACCACTGCCAGGAAGAAACCGCCCGATCGGTTTGCAAGGGCTGCCTGCATTTTTTCCCGACGGGCTGCACCCTTTGCTCCAATCGAGGTTGAAGAAGAGGGGCCAGCCAAATCCCCAAGGCCCCCTTCCTGCTGTGACACAAGATGGCTCACGAGGCTTGACAAAGCCTGACTCTGCTGGAGCAAAGCTGCCTGAAAGGGGTCTTGAGGAGCAGTCGGAACAACAGGATCGGTCTCGATCACACCAACACCGGCGCCCAAAGGAACCGCAGGATCCTCGACAGGGGGCCTGGTTCGCGGAGGCGGCCCGACAAGAGAGGCCTGCTTCGCCAAAGGTAGCCCTGGACCCCTGGCAGGGAGGAAAGGCATCTGATGGGCCGGCTTTGGAGTCTGCCCAAGGAGAGGCGCTGCGGCCTGACCACGCTCTAACGCCTCTTGCTTCTCGCGCACCGATGCAAGCTGCTCGCTGATCTGGGGCAGGAGGGCACTCAGCTGAGTCACTTGAGCTGCAAGATCTGCTGTAGTTACCCGCTTCTTGGCTGCAGGCGCCCGCTTGGGCCGTGCTTTGGGAGGCTCTTCCACAAACTCCTCCGGCGGTTCCTCGGCAGCCGTGTAAAAAGCAATCCGATCCAGGGGAGTAGTGGCGCACCAGTCCCTGGCTGCAGCAAGAAGTTCCTCTGAAAGCGGCAGTGCTTCGGGGTGCTCCATCAGGAAAGGAAACAAGGCTTCCTCGAAAAATCCCTCGCCCACAAGACGGAGTCGAGGCAGAACTCCCGCACTGAAATCGACGAGCATCACAGGCCCTTCTAATTCCAAAGGAGCCTCCATACCATGTTCGTCGAGCACTCCAAAGGGGACTCGAGCCTGACGAGACGGCCCGATCAGAGTGTCCACCTCGGCTTGATCGCCCTGGTCGAGGAGGGACAGAGACAAAAAGCCGCACGGAATGCAAAGCAACACTCCCCCCTGTCTCTTCAGCAGAGGCAAAGCCAGAGCCTCGGTAGTGGGGGCCGTTCGCCCCTCTTCCGGCCAAGACAAGCCTAGGACCGTAAGGTGCCCATCCTTTAGAACCTCTAGGGAAGACAGCTCCATCACTGTTCGGAGGGGAGCTCAACCCCAGCTGCCTCGCAGTACACGATGGCCTCTGAAAGAGAGGCGAATCCGTGGCACAGGGTGCCTGATTCCTCAAGCCGTCCCACGGCCTGCTTGAAAGCACGGGATGAAGAGAAACGGGCGGGGCAGTGCAAGCCAGCGCACCTGAGTACAATGTAGATACGAGAAGGCAGGGACCCAGAAAGCCTAGCACTAGGGCGGGGCCTAGGAACCTTATCCTCCAACACCGCACGAGCCCAAAGTCCAGCAACCCAAGCCCGAGAAGCCCTGGCCTCCGGTGTAGAACCGGCTCCACAGAGAGCCCGGCAAGAATGAATGCAGCGCTCAGGCACAGGAGCAAAGGCGGCCTCCAGCCGATTGTAGCGCTCAGTGAGAGCAGAAGCAGGTAGCACCGAATGGTGCTCAGAAAAAGGGCCTGGAGCCTCACGGGAACCAGGCTCAACAGGAAGCCGGGGGCTTACAACCTCCCACCTATCACTAGAACCACCAGGGCTCCTAGGGGTAGGGTGTTGAATGGCAATGACAAGCTGACGCAAGGAGTCAGCAAGAGAATCAACGGCACTTGCAAGCTCACGCTCGTTCATGCAAGTAGGCCCGAAGGCGCAAATCAGCCGGCCGCCGGGCTGTAGAAGCCGAGGGAGCAGGCGAGGCGAAAGGTTCTGGAGGAGGAGCCTTGAAAAGGACAGCCCTGAAGAACCAAATAGCCCCAAGAACACCAGAAAGCAGCCCCGAGACAAAGGTCAGGCACAGCACTAACACTGAACCTTGGCAATGCGACGGGCAACCAAGTCCCCACCAATTTGTGGAGATCCCGGTGTGCACCAATCGCAGAGCCTGCTCGACCCACATTTGCTTGAGCGGAAGCACGTTAAAGTTTCGCACCTATCGCTTCAGGCCCGTACCCTCAAGCCGAAACCCTACAGTGCGGAATTTAGCCGAAAAAAACACTCCGAAGACTAAGGTTTCAGTACATCCGTGCACATTTAGACCTGAGACCAGCTTGGGTACCCACACACTCTTGGCGAAGGGTTTAGGGCTTCAGGTTTCGGGGTTCGAGTTCAGGCCTTTGGGCTGCGTTGGGTTTCGAGTCTTCGACGTCTTTAAGCACATGAGTACATAATGACTCGAACATTCTCACTCGAGACATGATTTCATAATGCGCCGCTGGAAAGGCTTGCAAGAATGCCAGAGCAATGCCCTCTGGTCACTACATCATCAAACTAGAAACCCTAATCTATTCTGCGTCCTGGAGCACAAAATGCTGACAGACATATCCCGTCCACTCCGGCCACGTAGAAAGACACACTGCATCACCGAATGCTTTCCCTCAGCCAGAAGTCCGACAATGCCTGAAACCTCGAATGCAAACCTCTAAACACCAGCATCCGCACTCTAAGTGTCGAAGCCTAACACCCCGAACCTTTGCCTTCAATTCCTCAAGCCCTTAACCCTAGAACCCTAAAGCCCCCGCAGCTTCGAGTCCTTTTCACTGCCATCCTCGTCCGGATCCCGTCTAGATCCAGCATGGACCTGTGGCTATAAGACATGGGTAAGAACTATGTTGTCTATTACTTCAGCTATTGTGTTCAAACATATCACAATGCCTTATATCATGTATGTCTTGTAATGTGAAACTAAACTAGGTTAAAATGCATTGAACTATTCTGCACTATCGTTATATTGTACTCGACTATTACACAGTGTGTCATGTTCGAAAATGTTGTGATATTTGTTGTATCTGATATTATATTGTTTCGTATGATGTTGTAAGTAAGCTGTTGTTTCGCACTACAGTAGAAGATATGACAAGGTTGAATTTCAGAATCTCTATATATATATATAATGTAGTATATATATATATATATATGTATAGTAATACCACAGCGACATATGGATGGAAGACGACCAGGCCAACTATGACTGGCTCTAGCCGAAACAAACACCAAGGCCGTCACGTCTAAGAAGCTTGGGACAAAGTAGAAATCAGGGTTTTGCTTCTTCATCGAAGGTGTAGTTACTAACCCTTTCTGGGTTTAAGGGTTTAGGGTTTGAGAAGTCATGATCAGGACATGTCTGAAGGATGTTCAGTACCGGAGATATCGCATACTGGACCTAAAACCTTATGATGAATGTAATAACGCGCGGACCCGAGCCATTGTACACCCGCAGTGGCTTTGAGGGGATGTTGCAGAAATTTTGGCTCTGAATGGATGCCTTGAACGTACGCAAAGCTAAGGTTCTTGACGGCACTAACGGGCAAAGACTTCAACAGCTGCGCTTTGGTTATAGTTGGGGTACATGTGATTCCAGTGCTTCGCAATTGCCTAGTCCTCTCAAACTGAAACCCACAACCCAAAACGGAGACGCTAAGTCTGAACCCCAAACCTAAACCCTCAAGAACCCTCGTACATGCCGTACATATCTTAGCATGACCCGTAAAGGATCCCTGTAAGGATCCCTTAGATGGTTTAGGGACTCTTACAGGACGCTGGCTGCAGTAATCTCCTAGAATCTCCTCGTCTGAGCAGCAGGCAGCGGACAAGTCATCCATCCTCGGACGGAACAAAACACGAAACTCTGGCCCTACACACGGCAACCCGCCCTCCCCAAAATCCTAAGCATTCTGAAACCCTGCAAACACTGAAGCTCCTAAATCGATACAACAAAAGCCTTCTAGAACCCTTTACAGATAACACCCCGTAGAATCCGTAACGTGGAGAACTCATGGGGTGCAACGCCGCAGGTTGTTGACCAGACTGTCGTATTTGTCGAGTATCCCATAGGGGAGCTAAAGGTTAATCCCTGGGGGAAAAATGCATGGCTGCTAATACACCAACGGCAAAAGGCTACCTACTCTACTTACTGAGCTGTGACCTTCGATTCGGTTCGAGGTTTGCGAGATTAGGGTTCAGGGCACTTCGATTAGATGGTGTGGGGTTCCCAGACCTTCCAAAATCCCTTAATTAAGGAATATACCTTAAATCATAGTAGGATCCCTAATATGATTTAAGGTATATTCCTTAATTAAGGGATTTTGGAAGGTCTGGGTGTATAGGGGCTTCGGGACTTGCACTGTGATAGGCCCTTGCGGTCAGCCGGAGAAGGGGCGTTGAGGCTTCACCCCTGACACACGCCGAAAAAAAAACACCTTACACCCACAAGCCGCAAATCGCATTACAAATCGTGAGTTTTCCGGGATGTAGTTGGCAGGACCTTGAGTCAAGAGTTCAACGTTGGAAGCTTCGAGGAACTTCGGTTTTGAGTTTTTAGGGCTCGAATTCCGTCATGTAAATATGTGTGTATCTACATATATATATATATATATACACACATACATACATACACATAAACATACATATAATAGGTCTAGTTGCAGGTCGGGGTGTCTGTACACCCGTCATCGTTTGGTACTGAGGCTTTCGGGTTACAGTTTGCACCCCCACCCTCATGCGGAACCACAACACTTACCTCATGCTCCGGGCCGTCACAACTCCGAACCGCTTGGACACA